TGTACACAGAGTACAAGAAAGGACTAAGGATTGAACCTTGTAGAACACCAGTACCAGGCCAGAAACCAGAAGAGCAAACACCAGACACCAAGACACAAACAGACACCTCATCAAACAAGTTTTGCAGTATACCTAGCATAGCATCAGAGACATGAGTCTCCAACGCACGCCAGATGATACCACGATCAACCGTATCATACGCCGACTTGATGTCAAGAAAGGCCAAGACAGGAGAAGAACCATAGTCAAGACGATGCTGTTGACAAAGATCGTGCAAGCATAATGCTTGATCAGGAGCACCGCGACCTTCACGAAAACCACCTTGTACAATGTCAAGAGCAGGAGCAGTTTCAACGAGCGTATCATACAAACATCTTTCCAAAAGCTTACGTAGAACAGAGGTAAGACTAATGGGCCGATAGTTTGCAGCATCTAACGCATCACCTTTCTTATAGATTGGCACCACCTGTGCCACACGCCAAGAAGAAGGGGTACAAGACCAGCGCCAACAGAGCTTGAACAACAACAGTAACACTGGAACAAGAGACGAACGAATCGGTATCAGCATCTCAGCACGCAGGTGATCAACACCAGGTGCCTTACGCCTAGCCAAACGCTTGGTCAAGAAGAAGTCCAGACTATCCTCATTGAAAGGACAATCGTCCAGCGAGTGAGGCCCAACAGGAGCAGGAGGGTTTGGTTGCCGATTGGCAGGAAGAGAGTCACCAGCAAAGGTACTTTTCAGGTGACGAGCCATCGCAGTAGCAGCAGCAGTGGGACCATCAGGGTGTGAAAAAGAAGCCGAAGTGGTTCGACTTCTGAGGATTTTCTTGATCGTGCCACTTGTTTCAGACAATGGCTGACTTGTCAATTTTCCACAGAATTGCTTCCATGTTAATCGACGACGTCGACGCATTGCTTTTTGAAAGGCCTCTTTAGACTTGAGGTATTCAGCCCATCGGATGCAGCGTTCAACCGGATCAGGTGCACGTAGCCAGCGGTTATGCATGGACTCACGCAGCTCAAAAGCCACTTGCAATTCATCAGTCCAGAACCAGGTATTGCCAGGAGAGCGAGGCTTGCGCTGACCGACTGACTCGGAAAGAGAGGAATGTATTGCATCGGTAAGTGAATCACTGATAGCATCAAGATCTGGGCAGTCAGTGGCAGTCAGTGCACTCATCAGTGTCTCTTGTAGCGGAGCAACCTTTTCAGCAAACAAAGTCGGATATGTACAGTCTGGCTCATCTAGTCTGGATAGATTCCAAAGAAGACGAGGATGACTAGTACGAGATGGAGGAGGACAAGGAGCGGAAAAAGAAAGCGAGACAGGATGATGATCAGAGTTGATACTGATATCATTGTGGACGGTCAGAAATGGATCACGAAGATCAGCAGCACTTATAAACAAATCAATAATACTGCCTGATACATATGAAATATAAGAGACAGTATTATCATTGGCGGAGAGAGGGGAGCCATCGTCCGTATCAGCATCACTATCAGCATCAACAACAATGTCATTACTATCAATAGTAACAGCATCATCATCAACACCAACAACGCCAGGAACACCAGGAACACCAGCAACACCAGCAACACCAGCAACACCAGCAACACCAGCAACACCAGCAACACCAGCAACACCAGCAACACCAGCAACACCAGCAACACCAGGAACACCAGCAACACCAGCAACACCAGAACCACCAGAACCACCAGCAGAAAAGATTTGTTGTCGTCTTTGTTTTGTATGTGTAGGTACACCAAAAGCAAAGACAGAATTCCAGCAATGAAGGCCAGAATCGACCATCCATTCATAGAGCATAGTGCCACGAACTGTTGACTTTGTATCGCCAAGTAGTCGGGCATGACGAGCGTTGAGATCACCGCAGTAAATTGTATTTGTTTGACCAGGCAAACGGTGTACAGGTAGATCACGCAAGATAGAGAGGGCATAAGAGTCGGAAAGAGAGGCAGAAGGAGGAAGGTATAGACAATGAATGAGAGTAGAAGCGACTTGACATGAAAGAACATAGGGAGAGGAGGATGGCAAATGAGTTACAGGGTAAGGAAAGTCAGGATTAACAAGGAGAGTAATACCCATTTGACCACGACGCATATTAGGAACTGGCAAGCCATAAGTATGATATTGCTGCCATGAAGTAGGGAGACGTAAAGGAGAGAGAAGCCATGTTTCGGTAATAAAAATCAAGGAAGAAGAAGGAAAGGACTGGGTAACTGTATTGATGGTGAAACGATCTAGACAGTTTGCATTCCAGATCGTAATGGTAATTTCGTTAGTACTCATTACTGAGCACTAACTGATTCACCACCATCAGTAGGAGTAGAAACATGGGGAGTTTGAGCTTGAGATTCAGCTTCGCTCATCTCAAGATCTTCTTTTTCCTTTTCACCAGCAACACCACCAGCACCAGCAACACCAGAACCACCAGCAACACCAGAGCCACCAGAGCCACCAGAACCACCAGCAACACCAGAACCACCAGGAGCACCAGAGAAAGAGACCACAGAGAAAGAACCAGTTTTTCTAAACTCGCGCAGCTGCTCGCCACTGAGCCAGTTACGTGCACAAAAGTCAGCAGCTACTGCATTACATGCAGGCGAGCGAATATACTTCAAAGCACGCAAAAGACGGCCTTGATGAACTTGTTGGGCTTTTTGACCAGCCTCAACAGCAGACAACGTAGCAACACGGGGGTCATTCAGGTGTTTTGCGTCAAGTGGGTCAAAGTCATCAATAGGCTTGACACCAGCTTTAGCAAAAACAGAGCAAAGTTCAGAAACGTAGTCGTTGTGTACCAAAAGTGCAACGACGCGAGCAGCAGGAAAGTGGACATCAAGTACACGCCAGTTATTAACTTTGAGAATAGCTAATTTGGCGCGTAGGTTTCTAAGGCTATCCTTATGACGACTAGGCAAGTACACATACTGATACCCTTGAGTATAATTCTCAGGCAGAGCAGTGAATTGTCTAGAGGCAGCAGCCACTTGACGGGGGAGAGGGGCTTTTGTACGTTTTGCCTTGGCTTTTTTAGCCACCGTAGCAAAAGAGGGGGCAGACTTTGCTTTTTCAGGCTGAGAAAGAGCAAGCACAGGAGGGAGAGAAGCATATTTGGAAGCACTGGTTCCATTTTTCAAAGCAGGGAAGGTAAGTTCGTCATCTAGAAGAGTGGACGAACTAACTTCAGCAATATCATCAGCCCATTCCATAGCACCGTCATCACCAGTACCAGAAGAGACACCACCAGAAGAAACACCACCAACAGAGACACCACCAGAAGAAACACCACCAGAAGAAACACCACCAACAGAGACACCACCAGAGCGAAGAGAGACCAACTCCTGTTGAAGCTGAGCTACCAAGTCTTGTGAGGTGTGCAAGGCCTCTTTGGTAGCTGTCAACTCACTTTGTAAGCGAGCATTCTCAGCAGCTAGTCGCTCCACTTCTTCAAGACGACCATCATGAACACTGAGCTTTTCCTCACACAACCGAAGTTGCGATTGGAAATTCAATGCCCAATCAGGCAGACTCATTCCAGCAGGAGGAAGCAAAGGCAAAGTAGCAACAGTAGATGGAATGGCTGGAGCAAATTCCTCTACTGAAGGAGCAGGAACCGAGGGCTTGGAACCAGTAGCGACCAATTCAGAGGCAGAAGCAACAGGCAATCGGGAAGGAGCCGGAGATCTCTTCCGAGATCTAGTAGATCTGATTCCAGAAGCTTGGGGATCCACTTGGTAAGGTACAAAAGTAGCAGTAGTTACTACTTTGGGAACAATAGCACTTTTTTTAGACATTGTACCTAATGAGGAAGTAGGGGAAGGCACAAAAGGTCGTTTAGTAAAAGATGTAACCGAATGGACCGATTCAGAAGGTAGTAAATTAGATGCAGTGGAACTTGTAACGGTAACCGTAGGACTTGAACTTAAATCTGCAATTAATGCAGTGTAACCAGAGGCGGGAGATTGTTCTTTGGAGTCAGACAAGACGGGAAAACGGGAAGAAGGTAAAATGGATGGTTTGCTACTAATTTTGGAGGAAAAGAACGTGCAAACGAGGGAAAAAGTTTCTGCGCAAAAAGTATAAAAGAAACGTCGAAATAACGCGCGTTTGATCGACAAATGTCTCTCTTCGGTAGTATAGTGGTGAGTATCCCCGCCTGTCACGCGGGAGACCGGGGTTCAATTCCCCGCCGGAGAGTTTTTTTTTCTCTTTTGTGTTAGTGGTTTTTATTTTTATATCGTTTGCTTTAATTTCATGGTTTCTAAGTGTTGTTTTTGTAAGAATGAAAACTTTTAGCATTGAGATTCAGGTTCTAATAAACACCTAACTGTAGAGTAGCTGGTATTTCTAAAAAATGAAGAGACAAAAGAGTGTTTCTAGTAAACTAATGAGAAATCAATTAAATGTCGATTAAGAATATGTCAAAAGTGTAATATGATTTGATTCGGTTACCAGATATTGTTATATTGTTTTCTAGAGTATATTTAGATGATTCTTAAAATTAGTTACGAATGGTAAAATCACACAATGTTTTGTCGACATTTGAGAATTTTTATTTTCTGAAAACCAAAGTATTAACAATGTTCATAGCATAGTTCATGGTGGTGTATCCTTTCTTAAGGTTCTATGACTATTATACTCTCCTTTAGAAGTATTTATGGTGTCATTTTGCTCGCATAATCTCCACAAAATAGACTGTTTCGTATTCGTTTCTTTTCCATGCAATTGAAGTTCTGTAATGCTCTCGAGTGTATGCCTATTGCTTCAAATACATAGTATTACTCATTATGGTTTATTATATAGTAATTAAATAGAAAGAGAACGCTCTTAGTCCCACTATATAGCAGTCAATACATATTTGTTTAGAATATGCCACTTACAGTCAATTGGTCATCACGTGAATCTCGAACTGGTATAGAATGTCCTGTCTGCTTATTTTGTTCTGCTAATTGTTTACTTAATTTACCACCACCTTCTTTGACGCCGCGATTCTCAGCCTATGCTTATTAGTTATGTATATTGATATAGATTCTGTTATACTTCTTGTCTTCTCTTCTCGATTGCATTGAGTCTAGCTTCTCTTGAAGCGTCCCCTTCTAAAGCAGGTGCTTCTCCACCTAAGGTATGTCCCTTTTCTCCCTTTCTATTTTGCTTTGCTTTAAGTTCATGATCTTCTACTTCATGACTCTCTGAACCACAACAATTTCCCTAATAAATATGACAGGTCAATACTGAAGACACTAAGGATATATATGTACCATTTCGTTAACCAAAAAAAAAAAAAAAGAAGAAACAAAAGAAAAGTATTCAACATGAAATGCTCCACTTGTTTTAAATGACCGCCCTCATCTTTTGTGAGAGAGAAACAGGGCTTGGATAACTTTCCAATAAAAACAAGAGCAAGCGTTTAGTCTTTTCCTATCAATAGTTCTGTACAATAGGAAAGCAGCTCCTCTTCCGTTGCATAAACAATGGTTCATGGCAATCATGCCAAACAAAGTAAAATTATGTTTTCGCATGACAAGTGGCTGAATTCATATGATGTGAATGAACAAAAAGCACAAAGAAACGTCTAAAATAGGAAATAGCTTTCTGTCAATGACTTGGGATATCTCTAAATGACTCATTTGCTTGTCAAAAGACAATTATTTGGTACAACATATTTTTTAGATTATCTCTAGAAAAATCAGTCTAGAATATACTATTCGTGCGAAATAATTTTATCCATAATTCTTTTTTGCGATAAAAAGAAAAAAGAAGCAGGTACATACATTATTCAATACTCTGATCTCATATTTGATTGTATATTATTTAACATGTCAAACCTAATACAAGTTGTCAAATACGATCGTAAGAAGGAGAAAAGTGCGCTAATTTAAAAAAAAAAAAAGTATAAATATTACCCAATTTGCTTTTTTATCTTTCTCTTTTCTAAAAAAAAAAAAAAAATGTCTTCTGTAGAAATTAGACCCGCTACTGTTGATGATGTCCCTACTATCCTTCAATTCATCAAAGCCCTTGCTGAATATGAAAAACTTTCTGATCAAGTAGTTGCTACTGAAGATATTCTTCGCGAAACTCTCTTTGGTGAACGCAGTTATGCTGAAGTGATTATTGCTGATGCCAAGCGTACACCTGAATCAGAATTAGAACCTGCTGGCATGGCTCTTTATTTCCACAACTTTTCTACTTTCCAAGGTCGCCCTGGTATTTATTTAGAAGATCTGTATGTGCATTCCCATTTCAGAGGCACAGGCATTGGTAAGAAACTATTGATTCAATTGGCTGTGCTTGCCAAGGAACGCAAATGTGCTCGATATGAATGGGTGTGCTTGGATTGGAACAAGTCTTCAAGAAACTTTTATGAAGCACTTGGTGCTAAACCTCAATCTGAATGGATTATTCATCGCGTGGAAGGAAAATCACTGGATGATCTTGCTGCCATGTAATAAAATTTATTCATCTGTTTTTGAAAGCGATCTTGAAGAAAGACCTCTTAATCGACTAAGAGCACTTGTCTCTATTTCTTGTTCATTGGTTATCATATGCTCTACTAATGGACTGGTAGATGTTGTGCCGACAGTGGCTAAATCACTTGAGCTACTAATGTATCGATCAATCATTGGTTTAGCTGCATCTATCAAAAGTTGATTTAATTCAGGCCATCGTGTGGCTCTGATTTCTGCTGAGATCCTATCTTCTGGATCAAGGTGTTCTTCTAAGGCTGATAATGCTTTAAAGATATGAGTAGCATGGTTTTGTATTTGAATAGCCTGTTGTTTCATGATAGGAGCTTGTTTGTTTAATCATCACCTTTTGTCCTATTCTCATTCTTACCTTCTGCTATTTTTTCAGATACAAGTTTGGCTTGATTTAATGCGACTGTCATAGTCTGAACAGCCATTGAACTCAGTTCGTCTGCATAAGCAATACGTTTAAGTAAAATTCTTTGTTCCATATGGATATGAGACATGTGTTCTTTAACATGACCTTGAAGCCCAAAGAACAGATCCACCATAGGATCTTGTAGTATATCTTTTTATAGGATTCAATAGACATAAAATGCAGCTATTTTTTTTCTTACCTTTTTGTTGCATAGAAGATGCCTTGTTTTTGGATCCCAAAATAAGGTCTAAACCAAATCCTTTTTCTTGTTCTTTGAAAAAAGGTTCAAATTGTTTCATAGACTGTAATAATTCCAATTCTTCCTCTTGCTCTTCTCCTTCTTCGCTCACTACACGAATAATACCTTGCTCTGTCTATCATATGATGTGTTGGTACATATAGCATATTTAGTGGTTTATACCTCTTGTTCATCTCGATTCGATCTATCAAAAGAGGATCAGTGCTTGTTATCAAGTCTATTGTTACTGACTTTTGTGATGACAAAGTAGTGCCAGGTGTAAGCGTCACTTTATGAAACACAGATTGCTCTTGTCCCTAACACTTGTTATAAGCAAGCAGAAAAAAAAAAGAAGCGTTTATTACCATTTTGCACACGAAATCAAAAAGAAGAAAAATATTTTATTCAGTAAAAAGGGTGCATTTTGGCCCTCTTTTTCATGTTTCTCTCAACAATCAAGTCATCCACGCCTAAAGAAACACCAAAACTACCTTCTTGATGGTATCCATTACAAAAGTCTTTGGCAGAAATAGTACCCTTGTTCTGTAGTTTGAATGTAGGACAGGCAATCACCGTTTGATCACTACATACTATATGAATGGAACCCGAAGGTTCATGCCAGCGAAAACTACCGGGTGAACATCCTCTTAGGTCACTATCAGAGTGACTGGCTACTGAGATATCAAGTAATTGAACCATGATATCCTTTGCCTTTTTAGTGTGAGTTTGATAGATAGTACGCAAAGGATAATGTTCACCTATAGCACGATGTAGCTGTTCTACTTGCCATGCTGATGTGTTATTAAAGTCTAGTTCAGACCATTCTTTTTTCACTTTGGGTGCGCGTGTAGCCTTACTCGCATCTTGTACCACAGCATTGGCTTTGCGTTCATGCAAATGCATCAATGTGTCTATTAACAATTGGCTGCCTATATCGGCCAATGTGGATTTTAAGCTGCTATAGACAGGTGGTTGGTCCAGCACAAGTTTGTGTTGTGCTAAAATACGACCAGCATCAAATTCATGCGGATCGAGCTCTTGAATCGTGACGCCTGTTTCTTTATCACCATACAGAATAGCATGTTGAATAGGTGCTGCACCACGGTATTTAGGTAACAATGAAGGGTGTACATTAACAGCACCATATTTGAACTTATGGATAATATGAGGTGGAATGAAATAACCAAAGGAGACAACAACACCTAGATCATAAGGTGTATTGGAAGGTACTTGCCAATCGTTGAGTGTCTTGGCGTGTGGGGGTGTATGGAATATTTCGAGTTGATGTGATGCTGCAATGCCTTTTGTCTCACCTAAGAATCAATAAGTCATTCGCATGTATGGGTAGTCATCCTTACTTGGCGTCCATGTCTCTAATTTTCTGCCAGTACGACGATCAGGTGGACAGACAAGATCAAGTGCTTGAATACAAGAGTCCGTGCGCTCTAGCAGAATAAATAAATGAAAATCAATACAAAGCTTATTTCTGAGGATTGTTACCTTTTTCTTTTACAAGTGCTTTTAAATGCGTAGAAGCAAAATCATCTGTACCAAAAAACAAGACGCGCAATGGTTGTGTAGAATAAAAGCGAGTTCTTTTGATAGACTATGTATCAATCAATAAAAATAGAATAATTTCTTTATTTACATTAAATCGAATAAAACTTTTATAGCGTAAGGTAAACATAAAGGAAAAAAAAAAAAAAAAAAAGAGAAAAAAAGAAAAGTGGTTTCAATGCATTGTGTGACTCTTTTTTGGCTTCTTGGCTGATTTCGCCATTATTTCGGCTCGAAATACATGTTGTGATTTTCTACCCTTGATATCATGGTCAATAAAACCTAATTCACACATTTCTGCTTCAATGGTTGCACCAATACTTCGCATTTGATAGATATCGTCTACAAAGGCATTTGTGCCTTCTAAAATACACAGGTTCATCTCAAACTGTTTTTTTGCAAATGCCTCGAGACAATGAAATCCAGGATTGCCTCGGATATGCACTAGTATTTTCTTGAGTGTGCTATGGATAGCAAAGAACATATGATGATAAGTACTTTGGTCGCACCCTCTTAACTTGAGATCTTGAAGACCCTGAAGAAGATGCAGTGCGTTATCGAGCCCGTCCAGCAAGAGATCAAATGTGACTTTATATTGATCTTGGTGAAGTAAATGGAACAAGAGAACAAGGCGTAAAGAATAATAACAGTTGGCTAGCTGTAAGTTTTGATCGTTGACATTAGACCACCAAGCAATCATGTCCGTGGTCAATGCATCGTACATGTAAAACAGGGTGCCTTGTCGAATTGCATGCGTGTATCTTCGTATATGCTGTCCCATCACAGCAAAATCATACAAGGTATCATTCGACATCATGCACCCATGATAGGCATGGCTTGCTCGGTGTTGTCTTTGATGTTCTATACGGAATGGAAGTTGATCAGGCAACAGACAGTCTTGGCCCAATGAGATGGCTAACCATGCATCAATGTAGTACCATCGATACCAGCATTGTCGAATGGGTTTCGAATCTTGAACATAGGCTACTTTGCTCTTGAGTGTTTCACAAGCCAGATGCTGCCAAGCTCGGCGCTCAAGTGGCAAACGCAACAAATTAGCTGTATAACATAGACAAAAATAACATTGAATGGCTGTCACCGAGATATCGTCTTCAAAGATCACTTCTTTCAGATAATGGCGTGCTCTTTGATAAAAGTGATAGGCAACGTCTTTTTTGAAGCCTTCGTCTGTGTTGTGTTTGCCTTCAACTTGTCTGCTTTGGTTCTTGGGATTGATGGAAGTGATAGTGATGGCTGCCACACAATAGAGTATGGTTTTGGGTGTATCATGCTTTAACAGTTCGATTTCGATAGGCACAATTTTGAAACTAATGCAACACCAGTTCTGAATAGCTCTAAACATCAAATTCTCAATCAATTCACTACTGGCAGAAAGATATCTGACGGATTTGGGTAAAGAAGTATTGTAAGCCAAAAGTGCTTGTTTAATGTTAGCTTTTGTAGATTGAGTCGTTCGTTTATTGGCATTGTTGGGCACGCGTAAAGCAAGTAAGTTGCATAAATCACTGAAATTATGGATAATATAGGATACTTTACAATTAGAATTCATAACGAAAATAAGAAGAAAAAGAAGGCAAATGAGAATAAAGAACAACTTAAATAGTTCAGCTGACCTTGGCCTAAACATTCTTCCCTCAAAAAAATCTCTACATGATTGTATGACAATCTAAAGAAGTCTTATGTAACCAATCATAGTCCATTCTTTTTTTTTCTTTGTCTTATAATGAAAATCATGGTGTTTTTTTATTATTATTATTGTTATGATGATGATTAAGCAGTGGCTTGCTTCTTGGCTTGAGTACCTATGTTTTAATGAAATTAATACAAGCTGCAGCTGTATATGTCATATGCATTATACCTTCACGGAAACCATTCTTGAAACGACGTTGGACATCCTTCAAGTGAGCCATACGACCAGTACCGGTAGTCTTTCTACGCTTACCCTTTTCAGACCAGTTGACTATAGTATGTTAGTGGGTCATCTCAATTACTCGAGACTACTTACAAGATCTGGTCTTGGCAGCAGGATAACCACATTGAGCGCAAGTCTTCTTTTGCTTGTGGAAAGAGCGGTTGCCACAACGACGACACAAAGTGTGAGTCTTGGTGTGACGCTTACCGAATGAACTGGTACCCTTGGTCTATCGTCATCATGTTAGTGTCAACTGTGTTTCGACAACAGGATAGATGTGAAATCAAGCCATCCAATCAGTTGCATAAAAAGTCTCATCATCATGTATTTTAAATCCATTTTCGTTATTCATTGACTGTTTGGATGGTTGATTTCATCCATCTATCATTCAAAAAGGTTATTACCATCTCTTAAAAGACTATTGGTGAAAGGAAGTATCAAAGGATAATGCGCATAGGATGTCTTTAAAATTAAATATCGAGCCCGCTGCTTCTAGAGATTGTAGGCTCTTATTCTTCTTCTTTCCTTCTTTGTTTCTCTCTCTCTCTCCCTATCATGGCATCGCGCATAAAAATCCGGGCCGGAATATAACTTCCTTTTAGGATCCAAGTTCCGTCAGGTGCCTGAAGTAGTGTCAAATAAAAGTGATGGAAAACAATGCAAAGGGAAAGAGATTGCTTAAAAAGGGAATCCTTCAAGCGATATATACTTATAAACGCTCTTGTCTTTTATAAAAATAGCGGTTCACTCCCTATCCATTAAGAACCAAGAATAAATTATTTTGTTACACATAAAATCATTATAAACAAATATTTCACTCTCTCTTTTTTTTTTTCTTCTTTTTCTTTTTTTTTTCTTTTTTTCTTTTTAAGAAACGATGGCACAAAAGTTACGCAACAAATCTGCAGGTCTTCGATTAGAACTCAATACATCTTTTCCAGATGCATCTCAAGAAGATTTAGCCAGTACCAATCATTCTACCAGCACAAGTACCAGTGGTAACTGGCGTGAAGATATTGCTCGTCTTGTTCATGATGAAGATAAGTTGGGTGATTTGAAACCAGATGATTTTGAGAATATACGCAAGTTGGGTGAAGGAGCAGCTGGAACAGTATGGTTAGTCAAGCATAAAAAGACAGGTCTGACGATGGCCAAAAAGGTAGATAGATAGATAGATATATGGTTTGGGGGAGTTATTCAACCTTGTCTAGACAATCACAGTGGATCCAGATCCACAGTTACAAAGACAAATCTTGAGAGAACTATCTTTCTTAAAGACATGCGAATCACCTTATATCGTGTCATTTTATGGTGCATTTCTAGATGATGGGGAAACAACAATAGCGATATGTATGGAGTATTGTGAGGGTGGAAGTTTAGAAGATATCTACAAGCGAGCAAACAATATTGGTGGTGTCATAGGCGAGACTATTTTAGCTAATATTGCAGATGCTGTAAGCTATAAATACGACTGCTTTTTCAAAACCAAAACTCATCTTTATCATAGGTCTGTAAGGGTCTTATTTATCTACATTCACAAAATGTCATTCATCGAGATATTAAGCCAAGCAATATTCTAATGACAAAAAAGGGTCAAATCAAGTTATGTGATTTAGGTGTTTCTGGTGAATTGATCAATTCTTTAGCAGAGACATTTACCGGCACACAATATTATATGGCTGTAAGTAAACCTAAGAATAGCTCCACTTATACATATATATATATATATTCTCTCTTTAGCCTGAACGTATTAAAGGGGCTACTTATTCCGTTAGTTCCGATATTTGGTCTTTAGGCCTTACTATTATTGAAGTAGCACAGAACAGACCAGCATTACCTCCACCAGGTCAACCTCATCTGACTATCTTTGAACTCTTGGAGTTTATTGTCAATCAACCCATGCCTACTGTAGGTCAAGATCGATCCAGTGAATGTCAAAACTTTGTAGAGACATGCTTAATCAAAGAACCAGAAAAAAGACCTACACCTGAACAAATGCTTGAACATCCATTTATCAAACAAAGAGCTGATCCAGACTGTAACATAGAAGGATGGCTTAAAGAGTTATGGGGTTGGTCATGATTTTAATAAACATAAGAACGTGCATATTCATACCCAGAGAATTGTTGTTTAACACGTGTCATTGTTGTTTACAAGATAGAGAGTATCTTGATGTTGCCTTAACGGGTATTATATATATATATATATATATTGACACGCTGATTGTCTTTAATATATTACTATTGGATGAAGGAGAGCTATTTACTACAAACAGCATAACTAAAAAAAAAAAATAATGTATTTAACAGAGTCATCCGTTTATATATATATATATATAAAGAGAGAAAAGACAAAGATATGTGTAGTGATAATGGATTACCACCAACATGTATCATCTAAAGAATCTTCATTTAAATCAAGATCTATACTTTTTTAATCACATTTCCTTTTTTGTCAATCAGAAAGAAGCTACTGGTGCCTATTGTGACTTGTTAAAGTATCCACTATTTCTCGAAAACACCGGTCCAGGCTTCTAAAATGGAAAGTTCATTTTTTTTTAAAAAGAGGGGGAGCATGGCCTAATAGCCGCCAGCCTAAACAGTCAATATCAATTTACACTATTTTTTTTTTTTTCTTATCAATGATGTTGTGTATCTTACCATATTTTGTTATGTTGATCAAAGTCAATCATAAATAGTTTATCAATAAAAAAAAATCTTGCTTAGGTATTCAGAAATTTTTTTTTTTTTTTATAAATGTTGTGCTCGATGCACATGCAGCTCCATCTAAATCCCGAAAGCCACAAAAAGATCGAGAAAAGAAATTGAGGTTTTTTTATTTTTAGTTAAATGGCGATGTACCGAGAATTCGGTTTGTATTTCCTATTCTTGTGTTTAGGAGGAAAATGTAAGAACCACTCCTTTTATTTTAAGATAAGCATCTATACAGACTGCGGTCAAATAAATGCGCGGAAAAAATCAATCTAACCGGGGATTTGGGAAAAAAAGAAGATTCGAGCAATACAAATTGAAACAAAGAAAGTGATTGTGCATATATGATTTATAATGGCATAAAATAAGCATATTTTTTATAAACAAAAAAAAAAAAAAAAAAAAGGGGGAGCATATATATATAATTAATGAATTAATAATTTTCTCAAAAGGAATTAGTTTGTTCTTTGTCTTTTGATATAAGCCTCTTCAGGATCTAAAAAAGTTTAAAGTTTAAATTTCTTCAATTTTAGATTTATTTACCTGCTAATGATGATTTAGTGTCTCTTGAAGAAGGGTATGCAAGATGAGGTTCAGGATTAAGTAAATGAGATTCTTTACCAAATCCTAGTCGTTTATTTTTCGATACTATCAATAAGTTAGTAGAAATAAATACAATACGAATTTACCTGTATTAGGTGAAGAAGTAGATTGAGGAGAATAAGAAGAATGGGTGTGTATAAAAGGATCAAATCTTTGTTGTGAGTAATTTGGTGGAGGTAAAATGTCAGATGGATAATATTTTGATGTTTGTGTCTGTGTTTGTTGTTGTTCTTGTTGTGTTTGTTGTTGTTGTTGTTGTTGTTCACTTGACATCATATAAGGTTGTTGTAAGGATTGAGTTGAATTGGTTGAAGATGTTTGACTGGCATTGTCGTTCATAAATAATGCTTGTAATTCACTTAATTTGCTTAATATGGATTCTCTTTTTACTTCATTCATACTTAAATTAGCTAAAAACCGTATAAGCATATTTCTGTCTCTTTCATTGTGTTTACCTTCATCACTCAACACATCACCCAATACGCCTGCAAATTCACTAATCGTTTCTTGTTGTTTCGACAAGAGTCCCTTGAGTGAATTGGTTTCATTCTTTAGGATTTCATAGGACCTTGAGACATGATGTAATCGCTCTTCAATATGTAGAATGTGCTTATACATTGGTCCATAAATATCTTCATCATTCTCTGCTTGTAATCGTACATGATTCGGCGTTCGAGCTGGTAAATTAGACACACTAGGTTTCGTACTCTTTCGTTTGATGTTCTGCAAGTCCTCAATTTCTCCTTTTTTAAAATGAGGATGCTTAAACTCCCAAGTTTGGTTGTCTGAAGTCAAGTTGGAATGTATCATATCATTCACTTTATGAAAACCATACACTATTCAATGTCAATCATCCTTCTTGTTCAGAAATAATAACGCTTACTGTTCAGTTGACGAACAAAGCTTTGCCAATTGTTGTGTTTGAAATATTGAGGCAAGACGGACTTTGAGAATGCTGTAGGATTCGATACACTAAATAGATCGCCTCTTTCTGACCATGAAATCAGGTTTTGTATTGAAGTATCTTCCAACATTCTATCATGAATTAGGGTCAATGCATTCAATCATTCTATTGTTATTACTTGTATAGTTTATTCACAAAAGCAGCTTGTGTTCGTACTGTTGTACCATCATTGGTACTTGTTTCTTGTTGTTGCGTATAATGATATCTCGTTGATGGCTCTTGATTATCTAATAAATAATAAGCATTTAATGCCTAATACTTGTTTATACCTCTTTCAGTCATCATGTATTAAAATAATGCATTCGTCTAAATTAAATATATTTATTCTAATTTTTTTTTTTCATGCAAAAAACCAAATAAACAAAAAAAGAAGAGAAAAAGAAAGCAAAAGAAAAAAAAGAAAATATATATTTAAATATAATTATCACGATCAACTGGATCAAATCAATTTCCCGATCGTGCGATTTAACAAAATTACTCTTTTAAGAATCGAACGGAGTCAGTAGTGTCGTATGGATGAAAAAAGGAATACCAATGCGTCTCTTTCTCTCTTTCAACAGCATCATTGTCGGTCATTGAATATGCACAGACATCCCTTTTTGACAAGATATTCTAAAGAGTCATTGATAAGCAATGGAAGAAAGAAATATTATTTGTAACACAATATATAAAAAAGTCACTTTTTTTTTTTTTTTTTTTTTTTTTTTTTTTTTTGGGTATGCCCATAAGCCACTTTAAACACCTTTTTTGTTTCAAAGTATATGTAAAACTTGTTCAATAATTTCTATTATATATTCTAAATTTTAATCAATTTAAAATAGAGCTTATCTTCAATTAAAGTAGATTTTTTTTTTTTTTTATCCTCACGAGCTTTCTTAGGTAAGAATGCAAGGTTGTTTCTTTTTCGATTGATTGGCCTTGTGTGAGATTTGGCTCGATCTGTTATTGTCTGGTTTCGGTTCCTGAAATTATGGTTGCGATGGCATAATTAAACTATTATTGTAGACCATTCCTGCTCCACTACTTGTTGCCTTTGTTCGGATATGGTAAATGACTTCCCGAGCCGCGCTTTTTTTTATTATTATTATTATTATTATTATTTTTACTTGAATAAAGTATACACTAATCACCTAGCGTTCAAGTGAATTACCTGATTATACTGAATTCAATTGATATCAGGGTGAAGCAGGTCTACTCAACTGAAATCAAATGCACAATAGGGCAAATTTAACCGATATCAAGTGAATATCAGGAATAACACTCAATGCAACAAGAAACGAGTCACAAAGTTAGAGATTGGATGAAATCCTACCTAATTGTTCCTTCATTGCATTGCAATTGGCTATTCTTCTCTTCTTTCAGAAGGACGGATGTCTGAGTCTTGAACTTGTCAGTGTCATATTGACTGATTTGATTCTGGGAGAAGTGAGGGTATAGGTATCCCGAAAACACACAAGGTTAAGCCAGATAGACCTATTAGCAAGAGATGAGAGGGCATCCCGAGACTTGGTAGTTCGACAGAGACACAACATTCAGGATTGTTACATATCAAACTACTCTTTGTTGATCTTTTGATCATCTTTTCATTCTTCTCTTCAACAGAACAAGGGTGCTCTAGATGCTCGAAACAATAGATGTATGTCTGCCAATCTAATTTATCACTTTATAAATATTTCTTTATTTAGCAATAGATCCAATTTTAATACTAGCTTGTTCTGGTATTGCCATCACAGACAGGATGTTTAGCACTTGCATTAAAGTAGAGGTAGCACACCTTGAGTCAAAGTACTACACGTACATCAAAAGGATATTTTAATAAATCTAAATAAACAGTAGTACCAATTTAGAACAAGAAGAAGAAGAAGTTTATCATTTGGAATCATCATTATATTATACTACATGTTACCAAAGATACTTATTTTATGCTTAAATAAAGAACCTCTTTCACCATATTAAAATGAGGTTATAGAAATCGACTGTTTAGATTAACATGACTGTACCTTGTTCTATATCTCACTTACTCTAAACCAGAGGGTATAAATTGACTGTTAAAGAAAGCAGAAGAACCTTGATCAATATCATTCAAGCTTTCCCAGACTACAGATCCTTCAGACACAAGTCCTGCATCTGTCACCAACATATACAATCCCGATGTTGGATGTCTATAAAGAGTAGAAAACTAATGTGTGTTATTACCATTTTGTTATCATATTACTTTACATGGTTATTTCGAAACAAGACACATAGACTATCATAAGGTATTGCATCCAACAAAAGAGAGAGTCCATAATAAGTCAATTGAGTAGCTGTCTCTTTTAAGAATTCAGACGCAATAAATCCTTCATGCATCTTTTGTTCTTCTTCTGAGCTAGCGTTGGTCATTTCATTAGCCTGGACTATCTTTTCTACTGTTTGGTTGTAGGATCGACTCTTGCTCAAGACACGGTATGTTTCTGTATCTTGTGGATCCACAACCCAACCATGCACCAAATCAACTTGGAACAGATCAAACATGGCTGATTCAGCTGTGGGTTCAAATCCACGAATATCATCAAACCAGACATTCACATCTAATCCACGCTGTAGATGGGGGAGAATCTGAAGGGCTGTATCTAGATGATGACGATAGGTCAAGACACATTCAGAAGTTGTCTGTCTTTCCAAAGGTGCCTATATGCTCGGTTAAAAAAGATGTATCAAACTGTCATTACCTTGGGTTTCTTAGTGGTGTCTTCTAAAGGTACATGGTTTAATAGATAATCACCTAATCGATCGACTAAATACTCAAAAGTGACAGACTCTCTATCGGGTGGTCTAATCTCGATATCACCACGTAAGAACAACACATTACATATAGCCACAAGAGGACAGGGACCATTCTCTAGATGACAAGTTGGATGATGGATAAGAGATGATGCTTACCATTCTGTGTAATAATCTGGACTGGCTTATCTTTCCATTCAATTGTCTTGACTAAATATTCTTCTTTTCCAATGGCTCCTTTTCTAAATGTTTCTTCTTTTCCAATTGCCTCTTCTTTTCTAACTATTTCTTCTTTTACAAGTACTTCTTTGGGACGTACGGGTACATCTTGTTGATGAGTGCTATCCAAGTTGTATTTATTCAACTTGTTTGATAAAGAATTACCCATACTAGAACTAAAAAAAGAAAAGAAGAGATCATAAGCGTGGTTTGAATTGACGGCATAAAAGATAAGAATAAAAAGGAGGCAGAGAATCTAAGCTTGGCATTAGGTTCTTTCTTTCTTTTAATAATACGCATAGACTCTATTCATTATGTATATCATTCTCTATATATATATATATGTATATATACATATTGCAAAAGAAGTCAGAAGTCTATCATCTAGACTTTGTTAAATGAAGATGATGACACAAGAACAGCATAAGTAAAGTGACTGCTAACAAAATGCCAAAAAAAAAAAGCTTCTTTTTTTTTCTTCTCTTTTCTCAAACACCATGTCTACGAATCAAGAAATGCTCGATCGTATTGCTAAGCTAAGCAGTGCGATCCAACAACAACGTAATATAGTCAACAATAGCTACCCACACACTCGAGGAGGATTTATACCAAGAGGCAGAGGACGAGGCAACATGACACTAAATAATACAAGCTCTCATTATACCAATAACAACAATAAGATTTATACTCGACCTCCTCCAACCAAAATTAATACGCATGCACCATATCCACCCAAGACCAGTCAACATCGCACTTGGGTGCTTGATAAGAAAAACAACAGCACGACAACACATCGTGTGGATCCTATCACAGGAAAGAAGCAAGTGTCCATCAATGGTGTTGATTTTATTGTCAAAGGCAAGAAACTGATTCGAAAAGACCTGGACAATCATGCTCATACACATGTACCCAAAGTCCTTGTGCGACGTACTATGAAAAGGTAAGATACTAAAAACATAACTATGACACTCGCTAAAAAAAAAAATAGACAACGAGACAAGCATCCACTTATCAAGCGCAAATTACATCAACGCAATGGTAATCTTGTCTATACTCGTGAACCAGAAGGCTATGTGCGTCATGGCCCTTCTTCTCTTGTGTTAAAGAATACCCTTCGTCCTAAAAAAAAGCGTTATTGTGGGTTCTATACTCGGTATGGTAAATGCCCTAAAGCAACTCAATGTCCATTTGTCCATGATCCTACACGGCGTGCTATTTGTCCTCGATTTCTGCAGAACAAATGTACGAAACCCATCTGTCGATTATCTCATACACCCAATCCTCATATCATGCCTCACTGTGTTCATTTTCAAAAGGGACGTTGTGCAAGTGTGAACTGTATCTTTCCTCATGTCTGTGTCAGTCAAGATGCGCCTGTCTGTAGAGCATTCGCTATGGAAGGATATTGTCCCAAAGGACTTGATTGTGATGAAAAGCATGTGCATGTATGTCCTGAATTTGCAGAAACAGGTCAATGTTCCAATGCCAATTGTCGATTGCCTCATGTAGCTAAAAGTAAGAAACAGTCGGGTATTATTCGATTAGGCAGTTGGGTCAATACAGCCTATTTTCATGCACAACGATTGGCCAAGAAAGAAAAGATGCAACAACAACAACAACAACAGCAACAACAGCAACAACAACCAACCATTACAAAAGAAGAAAAAAGAGAAAAGGAAGAACAAGATGGATTTGTGAGGTTATTTGATGATAGTGATGAAGATGATGGTTGGAGTCAATATGAAAGAAATGATGATCAAAAGACATTAAGGTTTAATGAAGAAGATAGTAGTGAAGAAGAAGACGAGGAGGAGGAATTTCAAGATGCATCTAGTTCGCTTGATAAAGAAGAAGAAGAGGAAGAGGAGGAAGAAGAAGTATATGAAGAAGTGTCTGATACTGAAGCGATGTCTGAAGATGAATAACAAATGATGCATTGACACGCCTATTGTGGATAAACTATTTTCCCCATTCTATTTTATGCGGTCATTGAATGATTTAAGATAGACGTAGTTTTTTCTCTTTTTTTTTTTTTTTTTTTTTTTTTTTTTTTTTTTTTTTATTTATTTAGTGTTTTCTTCTGCACAATATGGACTTTCTAAAGAAACACCTTCAATTACATCAAATATATATTTCAATACTTTATCCACTGACTATACTCTTTGCTTTCTTATTTTCTGAATTTGGTGATCCACGTCCAAGTTATTTCTCCAACAAACGTAATATCTTTAATGTTTTCTTTGTCAAGATTGGTTGGTTTTGGGTGACTGTGGTGTATTTCAGTTATCTGTATTTAGTAGCTTCAAAACGACTGAAGAATACACAAGCATTTGTATCAGGTTGTGCTCGTTATACACTAGTGACATTGTATTGGTATCTTATGACGCAATGGCTATTGGGTCCTAGTTTTATTGATCGTGTCTATGTATTGACAGGAGGCAAATGTACTTCTCTTTTACAGAATGTCGAAACGGATGCACGACTTGCCAATGTAGTAGAACAGCAGGTATGCAGGAAACTCGGTGGACAATGGACAGGTGGTCATGATGTATCTGGGCACTGTGTTTTGTTGATTCATGCCAGTCTGTTTCTATGGGAAGAGTTGTCTTGGTTATTTTATAATGCACAACCCTTGTTGACCATGAAGAGACGGGATAGACTACAATATGCTGCTGTAGTGGCTGTATTGGCCTTGTTGGGTCTTTGGTGGGTGATGTTGATGATGACAGGTGTTTATTTCCATGGTCATTTTGAGATAGCATCAGGCACATTATTTGGTATTTTAGGGTGGATTGTGTTGGTAAGTAATTCGTGCTCGTTTTAGGAATCATACTTATATGTATTGATAGTATCTCACTGTGTTCCCCATGATACCTACTCTTCATAGACCCATGTACACAATAGAATAAACATCTTTTATTGCCTTTTTAAAAAGTAAAGATAGGCTTCACCCTTAGGTGGATGAGGTGTAACAGCCACCTTGTTATCATTGAATAAAGCCCATTCATCATCATTCTTGAATACATGAGCAACATAATGGCCACAATGAATTGAAGTACCCTTATGAGAAATAAAAGAATCCAATCGATAGTTGAAAGGAGCATGGGTGTCTATATCAAATGGTAAATTAATGTACACTGATTGCTGCTTACTTACCGCCTATACGCTTTGGCTCTTGTTGTTGTTGTTCTTCTCCTTCTTGACCTTGATCTTCAGGATGACTGAATAACCAATCTAAGGCTCTTTCAGTATCATTGTTAGTCTCACTTAAAGCCTTTTTAGCCTGTGCTGCAGTAAATCCCATATCTTGTAATGTTTGGATTTGACTATCATCAACAGCAGTTGTGTCTTCAAGGGGTCCATCAATATCAGGATCTTCCATGTGTTCAAACATCCAAGCCATAGCCACTTCAGCACCTTGGTGTCCTGTATTCATCAGTGCTCGCTTACATCTGTTCTCAGAGAAACCCATGGCTTGCAATTGATCTAAATCAGTCTGATTAAATGCAGGCTCTTGATTGGGTTCTTCTTCTGGTAAGGGCTCTTCTCCAGGTAAAAGACCTGTGCCCATGTAGTTGTCCAGGTTGACCTTGTCAGGGAATTGAAGTGGAATATTGAGTTTCTGAGGCACCCAATCCACAAAGGCAAATCGACGGGGATTGATGACCAACACTTGAGGAAATGTGCTGAACTTGACAGATCGATAGGCTGTTGTCTTTGTCTGACATTGAGGGCATTGGTATCCATCCACAACTTCTGGCTTGACAAAGGTATCCATCAATTCAGTAAAATCAACAGGCTCATAACCATCTTGTGTGGGTTTAGCAGGCACACTGACAGAGATACTGTTGGTGGGGTCTTTTTGGTACCGTACTTTTTTACAGGTGTCACATTGAATGCGTTGTTCTAGCATAAAGTCAAATACATCTGTGGGTTGAGTGGGTCCTTGAGCATGTTCTTTTTGCTGAATGTTTTTGTAGAGATATTGGAAGAATTCAAAGGCATCTTGTTGACGCATCGTAGAGAATTCAGCATGTCCTTTACCTACCAATGCCTTAAACATACCAGGTGCAATGCCATCTTGGGTTGCATTGGTGATAGGTTGAGAGTAACGACCGGATAACAATCCATCTGCTAATTTATGTAACTGGCAAGACCAACATGATGCAGGGTCTGCTTGAGTACATACTTTAGCATGGTCTTCTAATTGTTTACCATATCTCTCTTGAAACGCAGGGATATTAAAGACAGACTGAAGTACGCTGGCCATATAACAACTGTTGCCCAAGTTTTTGAGACCCGTATAGCCAGGACCAAATCGAGGTTCAAGTTGCTTACCATCTTCTGTGGTCATGCTGAAATCAAACTTGAGGTTTTGTTCAAGCTGTAGTTCTGTCATGCTCTTTTCAGTCTTGGTCTGTTGAGCTACTTGAATACCCCAGTTGGCTAAATGAGTAGCCAAATTCTCATCAAGACGAGCATCGTCACAGCTATAACAGTAAATATCGGCTGTACCTTCTGCTGTGATCGTGCCCAGCTTGACATTGACACCATGGCCTGTCTTTTCAAAATGTTCAATGGCATGGTTATTGCCGCCTGATCCATCGTATTGTTTACGACCACAACCGAGATTACCACAAACAAGACAGAGCCATAGGTTTTGGTTCAAGTCGCAGTCTGCACAATGGGCTAACTCTTGATGATCCAGTTTCTTGGGGGCTTCTTGAGCAAGACATAACGTGTGTTCACAAGGCGTGATAACTTCTTCCCAAGATTGGACTTCAGATTGTTTAGCGGAAGACATGGCATTCAAGACAGCATCGACTGCTGTAGTTAACTGACCAAGATTTAGTTTATATATATATGTACGCATATATACACACACATGTTTATATCATTACCTTGGATGGCCATTGTTCTTTAGGCTCGATAGTTTGACAAGCATGACAGCGTACTTGTGTATGGTATTCATAGACAGGTTCTTGATCTTCAACAGAGATAGCCAGTTTGGTGATTTTGGGAGGAGGAGGCGTAGTACCGTCAGCACCGCCATCACTCTAATAGATGTATTAGTGTATGTGTGCACATGTAGACACATTACTCTTTTGTTACTGGGTTGTTCTACTAAGATGCGTCGGATATTCACAGCAAGTGAGTGGCCTGTTCGTTGATAGTGTGTATAGGCATGATGTCTTGTAGGATCCAAACAACCACCATTAAAACAAGTAAGACAGACATCAATACCTTCAGGAACATCCTATAACATTCGGTGTGAGTTTTGCATATAATCTGAATTGAGCTTTACCTGACTATCAAAGCACTGCGTACATTCTTCTTTATGTACTTTTGTATAAACAGAAGGAGGGTTAAAAGAAGCAGATTCCAAGTGAGAGCACGTCATGGATAAATATAAAAAGAAAGAAAGAGAGAGAGAGAGAGAGAGAGAGAGAGAGAGAGAGAGAGAGAGAGAGAGAGAGAGAGAGGGAGAGACACGGTTCAATTGACATATTAAATACACGCGCGTATGCATGTCGTAGTTGACAGAAAATACAAGTCACAGCAGATACAGCATGAAAAGTAATTTTTTCCCCTTTTGGCAAAAAAAAAAAACTTTACATAACCTAGAAAACAAGCAACAAAGCTATAAAGAAGTAATAACAAAAGTTCTAAGATTTTTGATTCTACATCTAATGGTACAAAAACCATAACAAACTTATTGGTATACATATGAGCAACGTTAGGAAAACCAAATTTATATTTTCATGTCCCAGTGTACAATTTTTATATGTAGGTCATACAACATTGACAAGTATTTTTAAGAGCACCAAGTGTAGGACACTTGATAAAGAGGTTGGACGCTTGAGAAAGAGATTGGACACTTCAGAAAAGATGTTGGACGCTTGAGAAAAGAGGTTGGACACTTGAGAAAAGAGGTTGGACACTACAGAAAAGAGGTTGGACGCTTGAGAAAAGAGGTTGGACACTTGAGAAAAGAGGTTGGACACTACATAAAAGAGGTTGGACACTTCAGAAAAGAGGTTGGACACTTCAGAAAAGAGGTTGGACACTACAGAAAAGAGGTTGGACGCTTCAAAAAAGAGGTTGGACACTACAGAAAAGAGATTGGACACTTGATAAAGAGGTTGGACGCTACAGAAAAGAGATTGGACGCTTGAGAAAGAGGTTGGACGCTTGAGAAAGAGGTTGGACACTACAGAAAAGAGGTTGGACGCTTGAGAAAAGAGGTTGGACACTTCAGAAAAGAGGTTGGACACTACAGAAAAGAGGTTGGACGCTTCAAAAAAGAGATTGGACACTTCAGAAAAGAGATTGGACACTTCAGAAAAGAGGTTGGACACTACAGAAAAGAGATTGGACACTTCAGAAAAGAGGTTGGACACTTGATAAAGAGATTGGACACTTCAGAAAAGAGGTTGGACACTTCAGAAAAGAGGTTGGACACTTCAGAAAAGAGGTTGGACACTACAGAAAAGAGATTGGACACTTCAGAAAAGAGGTTGGACGCTTGAGAAAAGAGGTTGGACACTTCAGAAAAGAGGTCGGACACTACAGAAAAGAGGTTGGACGCTACAGAAAAGAGGTTGGACACTTCAGAAAAGAGGTTGGACACTTCAGAAAAGAGGTTGGACACTTCAGAAAAGAGGTTGGACACTACAGAAAAGAGATTGGACACTTCAGAAAAGAGGTTGGACGCTACAGAAAAGAGATTGGACACTTCAGAAAAGAGGTTGGACACTACAGAAAAGAGGTTGGACGCTTGAGAAAAGAGGTTGGACACTACAGAAAAGAGGTTGGACACTACAGAAAAGAGATTGGACACTTCAGAAAAGAGGTTGGACGCTTGAGAAAAGAGGTTGGACACTTCAGAAAAGAGGTTGGACGCTACAGAAAAGAGGTTGGACACTTCAGAAAAGAGGTTGGACACTTCAGAAAAGAGGTTGGACGCTACAGAAAAGAGGTTGGACACTTCAGAAAAGAGGTTGGACACTTCAGAAAAGAGGTTGGACGCTTCAACTGCGCGCAAATGATGGGAGAAATCTGGCAGTTCATGTTCATAGCATCGTGGAGAGTTGTGTTTTTTATACATACACGCCATGGATGAAAAGTAGCCATTGAATCGAAAAATGGTCGCTCTCATTCAAAATAACATACGCCATCTTTTCAATGAGAGCGACCTAATTGTATTCTTTTCAAATTCCCTAAAGATCAATCTGTCATTACATTATCAAATTGGATTACTTCGGCATAAGCACTTTATTTTTTTTTTTAAAAAAAAAAAAGGGAAAATAAACTTGCAATAAACAACTTCTTTTTCGTTTTTTATTTGACAAACCATTAGCACGAAAAAAAAAATTACTTTGATCGTTTAACGTTGGCATGTCGACATTTAAATTTTTCCAGATCCATATTTTTCAAAAGATCAAAACGTGATAAAATCTCAAACGAAGAGCCATGGTCTACAACAATTTCCTTGATATTGCTGCATTGTCTAGTATTCAAATTAATTAGCATGAAAAAACTTACTGCAATCAGTATTCTTTTCGACTTACTTCAAAAAAATCCTAATATCATTTGGTGACGTTGAAAGCCCGGCGTAGTCAATGATGACAAGGCGGAAAGGTTTTTGGCTGAAATGGACGCGTGCAACTAAATCTATAGGAAATCTTCAGTTATTATAGCTATTATACTGAACCTTGATGTACCTGAGATATCGCCATGGGATCCTTTTAAATGCAGCAGTAAATCATCCTGCTTTGGCGAGTCTCTTTCTAATATTGGTTGGTCTGCTTTGCAAATTGGGCTCACGAATACTTCTTCGCACTTTCCGCGGAAGTATAGTTTGTTCACCATTAACTGTAATAAACGTATTCGTGATTCTTTTGTTTCGTCAGTTGGCGATTTACGTGCGTATCCAATTGTTATGTATTTGGTATCATGTTGTAAATATTTCCAGTATGCCTTGACCGAGTCAGAAGTATCCGTCACGAACGCTACAGAATAGATTGTTAAAATATGGAAACCCAAAATTTAGTGAAGTGATTTTACCCCTTAGCTGTTCATCAACCACCCATAAGTTTCGTCCAAGTTCTCGCTGATTTTTTCGTGAGCGTGTTGATTTTCCCCAGATCTTTGCCTGTCCAATCCAATATTGAAGTTGATATACGCTACAATGATTTTTAAGATGCGGGAACACACTGCACATTAGCTGGTATTGATCTTTTGCAGTTAGGAATTGTTTGGAATAACACTTGTCGTTCAAAGGATTTTCATCAGTGGCAATTTCTTTCATAAGGTTCAGCAGACGATCCTTGCAGAATGGTATAACCGTGTCATCAAGCTTCCGTTTTTTAGACCTGTCTTTGCTACCGTTGTTGCTATTATTGTTTTTATAGATGCTGCTGTTGCTATCGTCGCTGCCACTGTTGTTGCTATCGTCGCTGCCACTGTTGTTGCTATCGTCGCTGCCACTGTTGTTGCTATCGTCGTTATTGCCGTTATTGTCGTTGCCATCGTGATCATCAATGTTATCAGGTAAATCTGTAGGTGGCATTGTTGGAGAATCGGGATAACTTATGAATTTGAAGGGATCTCGCTCGTGTACATTGATACCAATGGCCATCGGTTGAAAAGGATCGTGATTACGTATGTGTACTGCAATTAAGCCACTTTTTTCTAGATGTTCTTTTGCCTTTTTTCTCTCTTCTGGATCATTGGGTTTGTATCCAAGAACAAGACAGGAAGCTTGACCTAAAGTTAACATTTTCAGGGCAAGAGAATTACAACTGAAAAAAAAGGAAAGAGATCACACGAATTGCTTATTTCCAAGCAACTAAAAAATAATCGAGAAAATACAAAATTAATTTTGATTGGTCAATAACATCAGTTTCAATTTGAATGAGAGCGATGTCTACTCATCATCCATGGCGTATGTGTATAAAAAAAACACAACTGTCCACGATGCTATGAACATGAACTGCCAGATTTCTCCCATCATTTGCGCGCAGTTGAAGCGTCCAACCTCTTTTCTCAAGCGTCCAACCTCTTTTCTCAAGCGTCCAACCTCTTTTCTGAAGTGTCCAATCTCTTTTTTGAAGTGTCCAACCTCTTTTCTGTAGTGTCCAACCTCTTTTCTCAAGCTTCCAACCTCTTTCTCAAGCTTCCAACCTCTTTCTCAAGTGTCCAACCTCTTTTCTGTAGTGTCCAACCTCTTTTCTGTAGTGTCCAACCTCTTTTCTGTAGTGTCCAACCTCTTTCTCAAGCGTCCAACCTCTTTCTCAAGCGTCCAATCTCTTTTCTGAAGTGTCCAACCTCTTTTCTGAAGCGTCCAATCTCTTTTCTGTAGTGTCCAACCTCTTTTCTCAAGTGTCCAATCTCTTTCTCAAGCGTCCAACCTCTTTTCTGTAGTGTCCAACCTCTTTTTTGAAGCGTCCAACCTCTTTTCTGTAGTGTCCAACCTCTTTTTTGAAGCGTCCAACCTCTTTTCTGTAGTGTCCAACCTCTTTTCTGAAGTGTCCAATCTCTTTTCTGTAGTGTCCAACCTCTTTTTTGAAGCGTCCAACCTCTTTTCTGTAGCGTCCAACCTCTTTATCAAGTGTCCAACCTCTTTTCTGTAGTGTCCAACCTCTTTCTCAAGCGTCCAATCTCTTTTCTGTAGTGTCCAACCTCTTTTTTGAAGCGTCCAACCTCTTTTCTGAAGTGTCCAATCTCTTTTCTGTAGTGTCCAACCTCTTTTCTGAAGTGTCCAATCTCTTTTCTGTAGTGTCCAACCTCTTTTCTGTAGTGTCCAACCTCTTTCTCAAGCGTCCAACCTCTTTCTCAAGCGTCCAATCTCTTTTCTGAAGTGTCCAACCTCTTTTCTGAAGCGTCCAATCTCTTTATCAAGTGTCCAACCTCTTTTCTGAAGTGTCCAATCTCTTTTCTGTAGTGTCCAATCTCTTTTCTGTAGTGTCCAACCTCTTTTCTGAAGTGTCCAATCTCTTTTCTGAAGTGTCCAATCTCTTTCTCAAGCGTCCAACCTCTTTTCTGTAGTGTCCAACCTCTTTTTTGAAGCGTCCAACCTCTTTTCTGTAGTGTCCAACCTCTTTTTTGAAGCGTCCAACCTCTTTTCTGTAGTGTCCAACCTCTTTTCTGAAGTGTCCAACCTCTTTTCTGTAGTGTCCAACCTCTTTTCTGTAGTGTCCAACCTCTTTTTTGAAGCGTCCAACCTCTTTTCTGTAGCGTCCAACCTCTTTATCAAGTGTCCAACCTCTTTTCTGTAGTGTCCAACCTCTTTCTCAAGCGTCCAATCTCTTTTCTGTAGTGTCCAACCTCTTTTTTGAAGCGTCCAACCTCTTTTCTGAAGTGTCCAACCTCTTTTCTGAAGCGTCCAACCTCTTTCTCAAGCGTCCAACCTCTTTTCTGAAGTGTCCAATCTCTTTTCTGTAGTGTCCAACCTCTTTTCTGAAGTGTCCAATCTCTTTCTCAAGCGTCCAACCTCTTTTCTGTAGTGTCCAACCTCTTTTTTGAAGCGTCCAACCTCTTTTCTGTAGCGTCCAACCTCTTTATCAAGTGTCCAACCTCTTTTCTGTAGTGTCCAACCTCTTTCTCAAGCGTCCAATCTCTTTTCTGTAGTGTCCAACCTCTTTTTTGAAGCGTCCAACCTCTTTTCTGTAGCGTCCAACCTCTTTATCAAGTGTCCAATCTCTTTTCTGTAGTGTCCAACCTCTTTTCTGTAGTGTCCAACCTCTTTTCTGTAGTGTCCAACCTCTTTTCTGAAGTGTCCAACCTCTTTTCTGAAGCGTCCAATCTCTTTATCAAGTGTCCAACCTCTTTTCTGAAGTGTCCAATCTCTTTTCTGTAGTGTCCAACCTCTTTTCTGAAGTGTCCAATCTCTTTTCTGAAGTGTCCAATCTCTTTTCTGAAGTGTCCAACCTCTTTTCTGAAGTATCCAACCTCTTTTCTGAAGTGCCCAATCTCTTTTCTGAAGTGTCCAACCTCTTTTCTGTAGTGTCCAATCTCTTTTCTGAAGTGTCCAATCTCTTTTCTGAAGTGTCCAATCTCTTTTCTGTAGTGTCCAACCTCTTTTCTCAAGCGTCCAATCTCTTTCTCAAGCGTCCAACCTCTTTTCTGTAGTGTCCAACCTCTTTTCTGAAGTGTCCAATCTCTTTTCTGAAGCGTCCAATCTCTTTATCAAGTGTCCAACCTCTTTTCTGAAGTGTCCAATCTCTTTTCTGTAGTGTCCAACCTCTTTTCTGAAGTGTCCAATCTCTTTTCTGAAGTGTCCAATCTCTTTTCTGAAGTGTCCAACCTCTTTTCTGAAGTATCCAACCTCTTTTCTGAAGTGCCCAATCTCTTTATCAAGTGTCCAACCTCTTTTCTGAAGTGTCCAACCTCTTTTCTGTAGTGTCCAATCTCTTTTCTGAAGTGTCCAATCTCTTTTCTGAAGTGTCCAACCTCTTTTTTGAAGCGTCCAACCTCTTTTCTGTAGCGTCCAACCTCTTTATCAAGTGTCCAACCTCTTTTCTGTAGTGTCCAACCTCTTTCTCAAGCGTCCAATCTCTTTTCTGTAGTGTCCAACCTCTTTTTTGAAGCGTCCAACCTCTTTTCTGTAGTGTCCAACCTCTTTTCTGAAGTGTCCAACCTCTTTTCTGAAGTGTCCAATCTCTTTTCTGTAGTGTCCAACCTCTTTTTTGAAGCGTCCAATCTCTTTCTCAAGCGTCCAACCTCTTTTCTGTAGTGTCCAACCTCTTTTTTGAAGCGTCCAACCTCTTTTCTGTAGCGTCCAACCTCTTTATCAAGTGTCCAACCTCTTTTCTGTAGTGTCCAACCTCTTTCTCAAGCGTCCAATCTCTTTTCTGTAGTGTCCAACCTCTTTTTTGAAGCGTCCAACCTCTTTTCTGTAGTGTCCAACCTCTTTTCTGAAGTGTCCAACCTCTTTTCTGAAGTGTCCAATCTCTTTTCTGTAGTGTCCAACCTCTTTTTTGAAGCGTCCAATCTCTTTCTCAAGCGTCCAATCTCTTTTCTGAAGTGTCCAATCTCTTTTCTGTAGTGTCCAACCTCTTTTTTGAAGCGTCCAATCTCTTTCTCAAGCGTCCAACCTCTTTTCTGTAGTGTCCAACCTCTTTTTTGAAGCGTCCAACCTCTTTTCTGTAGCGTCCAACCTCTTTATCAAGTGTCCAACCTCTTTTCTGTAGTGTCCAACCTCTTTCTCAAGCGTCCAATCTCTTTTCTGTAGTGTCCAACCTCTTTTTTGAAGCGTCCAACCTCTTTTCTGTAGTGTCCAACCTCTTTTCTGAAGTGTCCAATCTCTTTTCTGTAGTGTCCAACCTCTTTTCTGTAGTGTCCAACCTCTTTTCTGAAGTGTCCAACCTCTTTTCTGAAGTGTCCAATCTCTTTATCAAGTGTCCAACCTCTTTTCTGAAGTGTCCAATCTCTTTTCTGAAGTGTCCAACCTCTTTTCTGTAGTGTCCAACCTCTTTTCTGTAGTGTCCAACCTCTTTTTTGAAGCGTCCAACCTCTTTTCTGTAGCGTCCAATCTCTTTTCTGTAGTGTCCAACCTCTTTTCTGTAGTGTCCAACCTCTTTCTCAAGTGTCCAACCTCTTTTCTGTAGTGTCCAACCTCTTTTCTGTAGTGTCCAACCTCTTTCTCAAGTGTCCAACCTCTTTTCTGTAGTGTCCAACCTCTTTCTCAAGCGTCCAACCTCTTTATCAAGTGTCCTACACTTGGTGCTCTTAAAAATACTTGTCAATGTTGTATGACCTACATAAAAATATATATATATAATAAAGTTAAAATTGTTTGTTGCTGATCTGATTGTAGCTTACCTTTTTTTTTAATCGCTGTGTTATTGGCTTCTGGTGTGGTTTTCGATGCCATTACATAGGCTCCTTGTTTCGACATTTATCCCAGCACTTGTAAGAATGCGAAACAAAGCCTTTGAAGTGACTTTTCTCCATACTTTTGCAGGCTTCTGTAATTCTTTTTGATAAAGTGTCTTCCTGCAAAAACCTATGGCGCTTAACCTTACTCTTTGCCACTGCCCAGAATTGTTCTATTGGGTTAAGCTCAGGAGAGTAAGTAGGAAGATACACACATTTGTATCCTCGATACTCAATATACTTCTTTATGTTTTCATGTGTGTGAATGGGTGCATTATCCATGACTATAGAATGGCCTTTCATATGTAAATGCTTGTCCGTTTCATCGAGAGTCGTTTTCAAGAAACTGATGTAGTGGCATGTGACAGTTCCTGAGCTTATATATCCATCAGCTTTTCTCTTCTTAACAGGTCTTGGTTTTTTCACGCCAACTGCAATCAAACCTGAAGCGGAGATAGCGCTCTCGTAGTGGGTCTGGTAACAATGGCACGAGAACCTTTTTTTGACCAAGCTCGTGAGCGTTTCATATTAATATCAAACGCAGACTCGTCAAGAAACATGCAATTCGTCAGGAAATTCATGTCGGTATTCTCCCATTTGCAAACCCAATCGTGTCGTTCCTCAATCTTTGCCGAACTGTTTCTCTCAATAGAATGAAAATCTGCTTTCTTCAACGAAAGGTTACATTCACTTCTCATAAAGTTATAGACAGTGCTGCGTGAGACTTTAAGGTCATGAAATTGCGTCGATAAATGCTCGGTCACTTCAACAATAGTAGCAGAGGGATTAGCATCAATGAAGTTGATAGCAGTCGTTTCATGCTCTTCGGTTAAGATGCACTTACGACCTACTTTTTTACAACTCTCAAAAATACTATCAAGACACACATTATACTGGTTAATCCATCTCTGCGCTGTTCGAATGTGAATACCCAACTGCTTCGCTGCAGCTGACGCACTTTTCGATCTTCAGATCAAAAAACCTAGCTTTATCCTGAACAGTATAACGCACATAATCTCGTTTCGTGTTTGCTTCCTTCATACGGATATCTTTGTCTTTTGTCTTTTCTATCGACATTGGGCAAGTCAGAGATGATTCACTGGAGGCCGTAGTTTTCAAGTACTCAGTATGTGTAGCAATTGTCTCAACAATAAATTCATTCTGATCAACAATGTAGTCCATAGGCTCAGGGTCGCCATTCTCATCAACAACCCTTCCATGCCCATCTTCATATAAAAATATTGTACTCATGTTAAATTGTAAAGTATTGATGAAGAAAAAAAACTACTAAGCAGGCGACATGGCTTCTAAAAATAACGATTTCTATTTCTGAAAATATGAAATTAATTTTGATTGGCCAGCGGCATCGATTCTGATTGGCTGCGACATTGCTTGTTGGAAGCACTGTACATTATACAAGATTTTGTAAGGAAAGAAGTTTAGACTGTGACTTGCTTTTCTTGCTTAACAAGGAAAGTACTGCTTATATAACATATTCAAGTTATCTCCACCTGTTTATTTTGCATAAAAGTTCTTGATCAAACATCAAACCAATATGATGAATACAATGTCTTTTTAAACATTTTAGAGAGAGAGATTTAGAAAAAAAACGTACTACTCAAGTTGTCTTGTGGTTTCTATTATCTCTTGAGTTTTATTACATGTTATAAGCAAAAGTGTTATGTCACTTTATTTATCCTAGAATAATGTTTATCTACTTCATTTGATGCAAGTAATCAATTATGAGCTTGTGTCTTTGTTTTATGCATATTTGCTTATTCTAAGAATAACTATAGCACTCAAAATGTTCAAGAGACAAGAACACAAAGGGGAAAATGTCCATCTTGAAATATGATAATTGTAATGAAGATACAAACACATGTATGTTCAAGGCTAAGAAAGATAAAACTTGCATAGACCCATAAGATAAATGGTTAGTATAAATAGTAAATATATTTTTTTTTTTTTTTAATTTTACTTTTCGTGTTTCAACATGGCAGATGCACATCGCTTTCTAACTTACCTTACAAATATATTCTCAACTCTTTCTGTTAGTCCAGAGAGTCCTTTAGACTTGACACAGTCTTATCCTTTGCTTTTGGCACTTTTTTCAGGCAACACAGAACAATTGGCAGAACAGGTATAAAAAAAAAAAAAAAAAAGACAACTCACTTGTGGTTAGAAATACAACTTTACAGGCATTCAGGCGCGTCAATTTGCTATCAGTAACTTACTCGTCAAGCACTTTTCAGAATTTGAAGATGCTGTATTAGAAGCCTTGTTAAGAAAGTCCCATGATATCAGTAAACTATACAAGATTGTCTCACAACAATACCAACTGAAGGAACATGTCATGGCACCCTATCTTCACAACACGATTGATCATATCATTGGTATCTTGTATCGCTTTTATGGTATTGCTGTTGTCGAAAAGTTCATTGAAGCAGCTGTGGTTCAAGTCATCCATTTACAACTCAAGACAGCCTTTGCTTTTAAAAACCCCATTTGGGAACTGAACAATTTGATCGCTACAATACAAGGCGATGTGGAATACAGTTTTGCCACGTTAGAAGATAATGTGCAATTTCAAGTCACTGTCAAGGGTCGTCTGGCAAGCTCAGGCTGTATCTTTTCACATACACGCATCGCTTATAAAAAGCAGAAGGCCAAGGCACTGGCTTGCAAAGACATCCTGAATTATTTTGAAAAGCATCCCAATGTCTATGAACAACTCATGCAAGTCGCTAGTCCACAAGATAGTTCTGTGGTCTATCCTTTACCTATTCCTAAAGAAGACTATGTGGTGGCTGATGAATTTCCTTATCCTGAGCCTGCTACACCTACACCACCACAATCAAAGGCCAAGTCAAAAAATCAACCTGTCAACTGGTCAACCAATGATACTAATCATATGCATATCAATCCAAATGACTACCAAGATTCAATCCAGTTATTATCTGATTTATTATTAGGAGAAGGCACAGAGGATAACGAAGATGTCAACATGTCTGATGAAAGTCCAAATAAAAAGAAACGCACAAGAGACAATAAACCACCACAACTGACAGAAAGAAGCGAACCTCATATCAAACAAGAGCCAGATTTAGAAGCAGAGAGTGTCAGCTTATTAAGTACCATCAAACAACCTTCACCTCGTCAGTCTACTTTGAATCACAGGATCAGTCTTCAGCCTTTGATTCCTGAACAAATCAGTCCTCAAGAACAACGTATCCAAACACAAACCAATAACATTTTAGCCACTCCCAAACCACTTGAATTAAATGAGAAAGTCTTGATCTATTTCAAAAAGATATTTGACAATCATCAACGTTTACTGCATCAATCACTCAGTTCACCTGGTCAATGCAAGAGTATATTCATGTCCTTGATTGTTCAGAATCAAGATAAAGTATTTTGTAAAGTCAAATCTGAACAAATGGGTCCTAGTCATGCTCCTTTGTTTACAGTGGAAGTAGTATTGAAATCCAAGTTTGATTCTCAGGTGTTTATCAAGACAAATGGTATAGCTAAGCGTAAAAAAGATGCAGATCAACTTGCTTTTTGTAAATTGGTTGAAATTATTGCAAAATAATATTTATTGTATATATAAAAGAGAGAAAAAAAAATCTACTATATGTGCAACTATTTCAATCTATGAAGAAGAAGAATTAGAAGGAGGATATTGTTGTGTATTAACAGAACCAATACGAAATACACCTTGTTGAGGTTGTGGTTGAGGTAAAATTTGTTGTTGCTGTTGTTGTTGTTGTGGCTTATTTTCATCAATAGAATGTCTTCTTTGACGTTTTGTAATGGCTTGTGTACCCCATCGAGATGTGGTAAATGTGATAGGTCTACCACCAGATCCTCCTCCACTACTCTGTTGTTGTTGTTGTACAGCGGGTGTGGATGCAGGTGATGGTGTACTTGTAGGTGCAATATTGACCATACCACTTCCTATCGATTGTCTTTTATACGTTGTGTTGTTGACAGGACTTGCTTGTAAGAATGTATTAGGCTTTTTTCCACTCATACTATTTGTGTTGGTGGTTGGTGTTGTACTGATTGGACTGATCCCATTTACTTTTTGAGCAGCCACTGTTGTGTTTGAATTACCACTTCGGTTTCTTTTCTTGATAACATCTGTCTTTAGACTTAAGGGACGCACTACACCGTGTAACTTGAGGAACAGACCACAGGCATTACATAAAGGCTGACCTTCTGGATTACGACGCCATAGAGGAGTCGTGGTCGTCTCACAATTGGTACATTTTGTATTGGCGTTGGTACTGCTTTCTTTCTTGACTGTGATAGGAGTTTCTTCTGATTGCTTATCTTGATGGTTGTTCGGACAAGTATTTTTCTGGAGGATTGGGGATCCGACTATCGATGAATTAGATTGATCTTCATTGTTTTTAGCCAGTCTTGATAGCGTACTGTTATTATTAAATGATGTTGTAAGAGGAGGAGATTGTCCGTTGGGTGACACTAAGCCATCTAGAATACAAGATGAGTCAAACATGTCTTTCACTGGGGGGGGGGGTTTTATCCTTTTACCTTGAGATCGTTGCTGGGGTAATGAAAAACTTGGATTGGGTGGTAAATGACCAATGGCCATCGGGTTCGATGCAGAGGGCGGTGTGCCTGCAACCGCCACGGCTGTTGCTGCTGCTGCTGCTATGGCTGCATTGGATGTGGCCTGTGTTGTTTGTGCTGTAGAACTTCCATTCACATAATACATGGTCAGCAAATCCTCAAAACTCAATGCACCTGCATTGTTTGTTGTGAGGGGTGAATAAGCAGCAGGAGAAGGTGTATTTTCTGTAGGTGTGGCAGCAAAGAATTGCTGTTGTTGAGACTCTGGTAAAGTAGAGCCTAATTGAGGAAACAAACCACCAGGACTTGTTGCATAGTTTTGTTGGAAATTATGATGATAACTAGGGACGGATTGACTGAAATAACTGTTAAATTGATTCGATTCGATAGACGTGGAGGGTTGGAATGAAGAGGCGCTAGAGAGTGGCGATAGATTGGCATCATTCGTGCGATAATCGTCGGTGATATCCATATCTGCTGGAATGGTTATACTGTTTGCACCATACATGCTTCCAAACACGTTCTAGACAGTATCAATACCAGTGGATCAACTTTAGATTGACTTACATGGTTCAGGTGACTACTACTAGTGGTCGTACTATTGTTGCTACTACTGGCATTGCTTTTGAAGGTGTTGTTTAAACTGGTCATATGTAAATTAGCAGGCGTAGATGCCCTTGTAGAGCCATAGACCATCACATTCCTTTTCTGTTCTTGTATAATAGGAGGGTGATGAAAGACTTGATGTTGTTGTTGTTGTTGTTGTTGTTGTTGTTGTTGTTGTTGTTGTTGTTGGGGGAATGGCTGTTGTTGAAAAAAATGTTGCTGACCCATTGTCATGAAATCCAACATATAAGGTGGAGCAGATGAAGATAAAAAAGTGGTTGTATCATCAGGAGGAGGAGGAGACATACTTGTGATGTTTTCTTCCATGACATCATCTTCCTCTTCTTCTTCCTCTTCTTCTGTTGTTGCTGTTGTTGCTGCTGCTGCTGCTTCTGTTTCTGCTTTTTTCTTTTTATTCAATGTCATTGCCATCATACGCCATGTCAAATTCTCCAATCGTGAACCATTAGGTAACGTATCTTTTGCTTTTGTATAAAGTCTCCAGACCTGAGTAGCTAAAGGATCTTCTTTTCGCTTATTACCTTCTTCATCCTCCGATTCATCCTCACCATGCTGAGAAGCAGTATCATCCATCTTTGGTTTTCTAGGTGGGAAAAGAGAGTCTGATAAAAGAGCAGCCGTGACAGCAGGTGGTGTTTTAGGTGACAAAGCAGCTGTGTTGGCAAGTACACTGCCTTTTTTCAAGTCGCTCAAGTGAAGGTTTCTATTTGTTTCTTTTGAGCTTGTGTTGGATATGTTTTGCATGACTCTCTTTTACTATATAATATAGTATAAAAAAAAAGGGTGAAACTACAAGTTGATTTTATCTTTTTTTTTTGTAAAGAAAAAAGAAAGAAAGGAAAGAAAGAAAAATTATATATATATATATATATTATCAAGGAAACATTATTTAATAACCAATGAAAAGAGAACGGAATTTAAATTATTTATTTCAAATGGACGATAGAGCTTACAGCACACCTATAAAATAAGTATTAGCAAGCATAAAATACTGTACTCTACTTGCATCCAAATACGGGTTTTATAAAGCTTAAATAGCTCACGTACTAATTCACGAAAATCTACTCTTTTCTCAGCCACAAAATAAAAGGTCAATTTGCGTCTGTCCCTAACATAGGCAATGATTAAGAATAAAGTCAGTCTAAACAAGACAAACCATTGGTATTCTGCATCTACAACTTGCATATTCAACTTTCTTTGTTTAATTTTGGATTGACAGACCATCAGTGCCTTAGACTCATCTTGACCCTTGGCCATCAATAGAGTGATTTCATCAGGTCTTGCCTTTCTAAAGATACGTTTGATATATATTTCAGTGGGTAAATATTTCTTGTTTTCTATAGGCTCTTCTTGATCTTCGGAGTGATTGTGATGTTTAAGCTGTGTATAGTATTGTTCCAACTGTTGTCTGCTGATATTTTCCATCGTTACTTTACCTAAATCACGGCCTCGGTCTGCTTCTACAATCACTAGATCAGTGTTACTGATGGTTTGTGTGGTTATGGTGGTATGACAATAATACACATCAGACCTTCCACCTTTGAATTCAACCACATAAAATATGGCGTCTTGCATGATATCAGCATCAAGACGAGTGCCTTTGCCTAAGTCATCTGTCTTGATCGTGTTTTCTATAAAGGATTTATTGGATTCGAGCCTTTCTCTGACTGCTAATTCAGACACAAGAAAATCTTGATGGTTTGTGTTTGCAGTAGAAATCGTTGGACCTGCAAGAGAATGCCTTCTTTGGTTTACAGATGAACTGGTAGAAGGTTGCCTAGGAGGATCCAGGACAGAACTAAAACAACACACAATCAATACATATACATAAAAAATTGAAACTCACTTTTCTAAACCAAGACTGTGAGTAGGTGCCAATGAAAATCGTCGCATTCTTTCAGTAAGATCATCGTTTATCACATGCATTTGATTTAACATGGATGGTGCAAGTGAAAGACGACGACCACTACCAACAACTCGACTATGCGTACTTGTTGTGGTCGGATGCACCCATTTTTGGTTATCGTCTTGTTGTTTGAATGAAGGATTCCAGATATTGCTCATGATAGCCGCCGTGGATTTAGATCGTGTTCTTTCTTTCATGTCTACTTCGTCTTCTTCTTCTTGCATGATGGTGTCTAGAACAACAGGATTGACAAACGCGTCCTGTGTACTGAATGAGTAAGACATGGATCGATGTTCACGGTAAAATGAACTGGGTTCTTCGCTTGGGTGAAGAGGAAACCATGGTAATCCTGCAGTAGCTGAGTTTCGTCGTATGGGCGCATAATTAGGATGTGGGGTTACCAAAGAATCTTGTGGCATGATTTCAGCTGGATGATGAAAACCAGTTGTCCAGTTGGTTGTGAATTGATTGTTTCTTTCTTGTTCATTCAAAAAGTCCTCATTAAACAGAGACTTTCTTGTTTTAGATTTCAATAGTTTTATAGCTCAGCATTGTCTGTACTTACACTTGATAAAGAGTTGGACATGATATTTAAAAAACAATAATAACAATAACAATAATAAAAAGAGAAAGAAAGAAAGAAAGAAAGAAAAAAAGGAGGGTCTCTTTTTTTTTTTTGGGTGTTAAGGAGTAACGAGAACAAAAAAAAAAAAAAAAGGCTGGTCTGGGCGTAACCAAAAAGATGTTTAGGTCGTACATGAACATACGCACACTTTTTTTTATATTTTATTTTATTCATGTCTGAATATTCTATCAATACAAAAGGAACTGCAGCTACTGTTTTATCAGAAGAAATAAGTCATAAAAGGTGATGATTGATAAATAATTTTGATGGCTTATACAGAGCATAGGTTTATTACTGTTTGGAATCGTAAAACACAGTTTGATGATGGTCGAGTAGTCGAGTGGGATGTGGTTGGACACAACACACCTTATCCTACGTTTGTTGTTGTCTTTACGTTTGATACAAAGACAGTAAGTTATATTTGATCATTTTCATGTCTATAACGCGTATAGAAAACAACCTCGATATTAAAAGAATATGCTCAAGGCACAAATGAAATGGTAAGTAGACCTCGTCTGATGTTGAGTGATAACAAGAGCAAAGAAATATACATGTGTAGCAGGATCCTTTGATAGAAGAAAGCATCAAAATATCTTACAAGCTGCTCAACATGAGCTCTCTGAAGAAGCTCAACTAAAGCAAGGCGAATGGATCAATTTATTGCCTCAAGATCACTCGCCTGATGGTATTAGTGAACTCAAATGGGGCAGAAACAGATTTATTCCTTACCTTTGCTTGAATCCTATCAAAGACGATACACCTATGGAACGTGATGCAGAAGAATACATTCAAGTAGTGCATCATGTACCTATTCCTGATCTCAAACAATTTATTACTCGAGCAGAAATGATGCTTCCTTCTGTGCAGACGTGTTGGATGGCTTTAGAATATTTAAGAGAGCATAATTTACTTTAGAGAATATGGGATGGTTTTGTTAGTTTGACGAGTTTAACTAGACGCTCATGATCCTATAGAATGTGAATAATAAAATATAGATCAAGATACTACCTTTTTCAATTGACTCAATTCTTTTTGAAGTAAAAACATGGATTTTTCATTCTGCAGAGGTTTCTTGGACAGATTCTTCATAAACATGTCTAAATCTTCTTCTTCTGCTTGTGCATTGGCCTTATTGTCTGCATCTCTTTGTTTTCTATCTGCTATTTCTTGTTCGAGTTGTTGTATTTTTTGTTCAGCTTCGTTTTGTTTTCTCACTAAATCATCATGTGTATCTGCTTTTTCTTCTTTCTTTTTCTTTTTGCGTGCTATAATAAGCCTTGTTAATAAGTTGTCATGATAGTTGGAACCTTACATGTCTTATCATAGAGTTCTTCATCACTATCATCATTGTACATGAGTTCTATATCTTCTCTGCGTCTTTTAGCATCTTCAAATGCTTGTTTCTGCGCTTCTACAGTCAATAGATCAGCATCACCAGAGGACTTGTTTAAATTAGCCTTGATATCTTCTATTGTGTTTTCACTTATATCATCTTGATCATCATCGTCTTCTTCTTGAGCATCTTCTGCAAATCCCCATGTGATACCTTGATCCACTTCTTCTTCTTCAGGCTGACCATTGGCTTGAGCAATTCGTTCTCGTAAAGCCTTTTTTCTTCTCTCTTCTGCCTCTGTTTCTGGATCATACGGTTTCTCTGAATCGAAAATACAGATACGGGTACTCTCACCAAACCGAATTTGATCCCCGGGTTTCAAGGGAACATGTTCTCGAGCAGGCACAGGCTTTTTATTGAGACGAGTACCATGAGCACTCTGCATATCATACAGATAGGCGTCTCCATCATGATCAAATTGAATGATGGCTTGGTATCGCGAGACAGAAGGATGTTCCATCTGAATATCGCAAAGAGGTAAGCGACCAATGGTCACATATTCCTTTTTGGGGCCTTGAATAGTTTCAATGCTTGCACCATTTTTGAGTACTTCAAGACGGTAAGGAAACGAAGGAGGTGCACTCCAAGAAGGTGTTTCGTATTGAAGTACAGGTGGCTGAGGACGTACTTGTTCTTCTTGTTCTTGTTCCGGCTTTCTTTTTGAAGCGGGTAAGGAAGGAACTGCAAAACCTTGTTTATCACTCATAAGGAAGAAAAGAAAAAAGAAATTTTCATAAATATCTACAGTATTTCTACTTTGGATTCAGACGATGTTAGTTTCTTTCTGGACGAATCAAAATTGATTTCCAGATGCTCTTCTTACCTATTTTGGACGAAATAAAAATGGAAATTAAACAGTATTCTGCTTTGTTAGGAACCTTTTAGGCGGATCATGGCTTAATCTCGGAGTTTCGTTCAAAGAGTCACATATAAATAAGACCATTTTTTCTCTTTCTCTTTCTCTCTCTTTTTTGTTTTTTTGTTTTATTTTATTTCATATGCAACATTTGCCAAATGAGTTGTTAGTCAAGATATTTGAATATACACTTGAAGACATTCAGCAATTACTTGTTCTTCAACAGACATGTAAAAGATTCTACAAGTAAGAAACTAGACAAGTCAAACATGAATATATTGAGTTTGCATCTTAGTATGATTAATCAGAACGATTATTTATGGTATTTTCTATTCAAGACAATACACCCAAGATGGTCTCTTCATATTGACTATGTATACAACAAACAACCTTTGATTGACTGGAAGCATTTTGTACTTGAACTTTATCGACATAAACAACATTATACCACTCACAACGTCACTTTGAATTCCATCATCAAGACACCTTATAAAATAGAAGAACCCTTTATGTCTGATATGCAGAGTGGCATGATTGCCTTGGGCAAATACAAAGACCATGAATACAAGATCAGTTTCTTTGATTATCCTTCTTATGCGTTCTTGTTTGAACACACTTTACATTTTACGTATGAATCTTTTATTTTGCCTTGGACTTGTCAAGTAGTAGGATTACAGACGATTCAGATCAACCATCGGTCGATTCAGTTATGTGCAGTGGCATTAGGGCAACCTGTTGTATTTGAAGATGAGGAAGAACAAGATATTCTCGACACAATGGATCCACGACTGAACATTTGGCGAACCCTTTTGATCTATCGCATTGATCATCACAGATTGACCTGTTTAGCTCATCTCAATATGGCTGATTATCCTGACTCCAGACTGGGATTTTTAGGCCGAGAAGTCTTTTTTTTCTCATCGACAGAACAAGCATGGACTCAACCCTGGTTAGAGATCATCTCACCAGACCATGCGTCTCGTGTTGACATGGCCTACATGTTGGCTTTCGGACCTAATTTACCGAGATATGGAGGACGTTGTTATATTGTTCAGTTGGATGTGGATGGACAAGAAACCACATTGGATCCTATCCAGACCGAACTTGTCTGGCATCCTCGTCTACAGCGATTTATACCCCACACGCAATCGACAACCAGTCCATCTTATCCAGCACAATTGATCACTACCGTTCGATTAGGCTCAGAAGTGAGCTGCATGTATCATTTTCGACATAGCCCACAACTACACCATTTGATCTGTACGGGCAATTACGATACAGACGAAGTGTCTATTTGGGACTGGCGGTTTGGGATCAAAGTAGGTTTGATTCCCGGTGGGGATAAAGAGAACATACAACCTTGGGGATTTGAAACCACATGGGCTATACCCACCACACACCCTACTGTCTTCCATGGTCCTCGTATGATTGTCGTAGGTGATTTTGAAGACAAGTTTGAAATCAAGACATGGGATATTTCTCATCTGTTAACAACCGTATGGGATCCTTTTGATACAACCCCTAAAGAAGACGAAGATGAAGATGAGGATATGCCATTTATGTATGCTTGGTGGCATCGTGGTACAAGCCAACTAAAATACACTGCAACCCATCCACATTCCCTCCCTTATACTATTCCCTATGAGGCACTTTTAAAAGTGCATGAATTAGATGCTCAAGTAAAATACACTGCTTATAGCATTCTTCAGACACTGTTGTATTTACTGAATGCAGAAGGGCATTTGGTAGTCATGGATATTGAATCTGGGAATACGTTGACTACCACACAAACCCCGGGAATGGGTGTGGATGTGAATGTATTAGGCAACAAAGAGATTATCATTACACAAAAACATGAATTACTACGGTGTTTACCATAAAAAGAATTTTCGTAAATGAAATAAAATAATTTTTTCTCTTTTTTTTTTTTTTTTTTTTTAACATGGATGATAGTATTACAATTCAAGAAGACTCTGGAAGATATTTACAAGAATATATTCAAAGTAAACACATATGGAATGATACATGTATTCATGCTTCTTTAAGGCCTAGAGAATCTTCCGAGTGAAATACAGTATCATTGGGCAGAAATACGCAACCGATACGATAAAGCAAGAGGTGTGTAAGTAGACTGTGCTTGCCTCATGTGTTTATTCCATCCAAACCCATAGTATCTGAAAAACGTATTCGGTCTGGTCAACACGATCTTGCCAAGATTCATAGACAATGGTTTAGTGATCATCAAGATCCTGCCGAGAAAAGAGACAAACTACTCAAGAATCAGCCTGTGATAATAAAGCGTATTCATGAAGACTATCACCAACTACACGATCTTGCTAATGAACGAGTGTCCTTGGCTGAAGAAGCACTTCGATTAGTGGATCGACACTTGACTCGATTACAAAAAGATCTAGACCAACATGACTTGGAACATCCTGAACTAGCTCCACCCCCATCCACAACGCGCACAGGATATGCAATATCACATCATAAACGATGTAAGTTACCATAAAACAATGCATGTATTGTACTCAATTGCCATTGATAGTCCATGAGATAGAACAAGACAACGAAGAAGACGAAGAAGAAGAGGAAGAGGATTCAATACTAGATGAAGAATCAGACCAAGAAGATCGTATAAAAAAAACACAAGAAGCAGCCATGAAGAACCAAAAAAGAAAAAAAGATGAACCATTGTACTGTTATTGTCAACAAGTATCGTATGGAGAAATGGTGGCATGCGATGGTGAAGTAAGTAACAGATATGTTCTACTTTAGCTTTTAAACATCACTAGAATTGTCCTTTTGAATGGTTTCATATGGAATGTGTTGGCTTAGATGAGCCACCCAAAGGTGCTTGGTTTTGTCAAGATTGTTCAGCAGAATTGCGTAAACGAAAACAAAGTCTACAGAACATGCCTAAGAAGATAAAAAAAAGACATGCTTAAATTATTCTAGTAATAAAGAACACATTTTATTTTATTTTTTTATTTAGTATCAGATTCAACAACAACAGAAGATTGGCCTTGTAAAGCACCACCAGCAATCAATTTGGCATTACCAACAACAGCCAAGATTTCATTCAAGTTTTCTTTCCAGGCACTCAAGGCTGTGCTCAACTTGTTCCATTGTTCCTTACCAAACACACGATAGATACTACGGTGAACAATCACAGTCTTGTTTAATTGATCCAATTTGGCTTCAACCAAGCCAGCACGGATCACATCAATCACCCACATTTCAACTTGGTCTACATCAATCTGAAGAGTGCTGGCAATCTCGGCATAAGATAGCTCGCGAGACAAGTTTTCAGATCCAAGAGAAGCCAAAGATAATAAACGCATCTTGTGCGTATTGCTTTCAGAATTACCCAATGTGTACTTCTTTTCAAATTCTTGATATGTGCTCAAAGTGCCGTTCAAAAAGATATCTAAAAGATCGTATTCTGGAGTGCCCTTGAGTTTTTGAATGGCAGTGTATTGCAAAAGATCTTCAAAAGCAAAGAAGTTTTCCATAGCAATGGCGCGGTTGACAATGTCTTTGGCAAGAGAGGCAGATTCGTTCTCTTGGACGATGTCCAACTTTTTTAATGAGAAATCAAGAGCTAATTTTCTGTTGCAAGATATGAGTATATGCAGTGATGTGTTTAAATGATTCCTTACTCTTGACCAGCAGCCAACAAGACTTTGCTTAAATAGTCGTACAAGTTGCATTGCGTTTGTTGATCAATACCCCATTGTTTGGCCCATGCATCGACATATTCTAATTGACCATAAAGAGATTCTAATTCATCAGCTTGTGTGGTAGCTTCGACTAATCCAACAAAGGCATGGTAACGAAGAGGTGAGTTACCGGGAAGAGCATTGTACAAGTTGAGTAAGCTATACAAAACATCAGTCTTTTTCTTTTTTTTTTCTTTCTTTTGGTTCGATAAGCTTACATCTTTTGCTTTAAGCTAGTTTTGTTGCTTTCGGTTTTAGTCAAGGTATCAATGAGAGATTGAACAGTAGAAGAAAGAATAGATTCGGGAGCACCCAAAGCAATGACAATAAGCAAGTTGAAAGCACCTTCAACCTCTGTTTATAATAAGTCAGTTTATATCTTGTTTTTTTTTCTTTCTTTTCGTCGTACCTCTATCGTTTTCGGTCAAAAAGATGGAAGCATCTTTAATAATTTCATCATAGACATCATCCTTCTTTTCAGACTTCAAGATAGATTCAATGTGCTTCACATAAGGTGCTTCATTTTCACCTTCTTCGTCTCTCAACTTGGAAATATAGATAGCCAAGTCAATAATCTATATAGAGATGTGTATAAGTGTCTTTTGTTGATAAAATAATAAAATCCATGGCTTTGTTGGTTGTAGAAAAAAAAGCGATGAATTTCATGTAACGCGTTGAATACTTTACTTGAGTTTCAACACCACTTTGAACAAAGATATTGTTAGTAGACATAGTGTGTAGTGCCAAGTTAAAAAAAAAAGGGAAAAAAAAAAGAAAAAAGTATCGGGCCAACAAAAAAAAAAAAATAAACGAATTTTTTTTCCTCTTACCATGGTGCTAAAGTGGCTTATCTGTCAAACTGCGGTCGTTGTTTTATTTTAAGCATATTTCAGTTTATGCTTTTTTGTTGTCATATGAAAAAAGAGAGAGAGAGAGAGAAAAAGAAAGAAAAGTAAAAGAGTCATGAAAACTAGAGTTTATGCCTGGTTTATGTCGTATGATCGACGACGGTTGTTTGTTACTGAATGTTGTACATATATTATTGCGTAAATCAAGAAAGAAAGGCACTTCTGACATTTAAAACATGACGCTCTTTTGATTTGGTTATTTCTCTTTCTTTCATTCTCTTTTTTTTTTTCTACAATGGATGATACACTTGAACAAGTTCGTGCCAAATGCGCACTTCAACTTGAGACATATCAAAAATGTGTAGAAAATTATCCTCATTCATGGGACAAAAGCTGTATGCAACAAAAACAAGCCTTGACAAAATGCTCTGAAGAAAAGTAAACAAATGAAAATACCAGCTGTCAAATTAACACATTTATAGTGTTGGTATTTTGAAATTCGTCAAGCAACATTGTTCCAGTCAAATCAACGCTTATGATCAATGTTTAGCTGCTAATGCTGAAAAGCCTGATGAATGCATTCAAGCATTAAGAGACTTGTATTTATGTACTGAAGCTGCTTCAGTGACATATCGCGAACAACAAAAGAAATAAATTTTTATTTTTTTTTATTATACATGGATATCCTTGACGCCTTTTTGTGAATAGGTCTCAAACTGTTTTCTGCCTTTTCTAAGCATATATTCAATAGTTGCAAAATCAGATTTTCGGATATTGTGTTCTTTAAATTCTCTTCTTATAAATGCATGAAATCTAGGTCGTGTTTCCTATAGAAAATATGAATTTCTATGGGTTTGTAAACTTGATCATACCACTGGTTTTTCTCGGGCAGCTCGAAAACATTGTCTATAGAAATGTATCACTTCATTCTGTAAACCAGATCTTCTTAATGGTGCTGGCATGATATGGATAGACAAAAAGAAATATAATAAAAAAAGAGAAAAAGAAGAGTATAACCCCCCGCAGTAAGTAGTAGAAGTTTATGCGGTGTTTTAATGACCCACTGTAATCATCATTACATATCTATATAGACAACAGACTCTAAAAAAAGGGGGGATTATTTTAATACATAAATATAGAATAAATATTGGTAAAAAGAAAAAGATTAATATTGATTATGATTCACAGGAATAATGCGTTCAGCACTTGGGCTATTATAATAAGCAGGGATTTCGGACATGCGAGCTCCACCTCCACCAGCATTAAATACACTGTAATCGGATCTTGGGCGGAAGGTTTCCATACCCTTTTCACGACGTTGTCTCTTCCAGCGAGAAACAAAAATGAAAGCAAGGAAACCAAGGATAAGGGCTCCGCCTACACCACCTACAACACCGCCAATAACAGCTTTCTTTTGGTCACTCAGACCACTATTGCTACTAGCATTATTGTTTGCAGTGTCTAGACTCATAGATGGTGTACTAGATACAATAGCGGATGTTGTGGTGGCAGTAGGCAAGAAAGAAGAAGAATAAGTAGCAGTCATGATAGCAGAAGAGGTGTCTATGATAGACGATATTGTGCTTATATCTTGGGTTGTAGTGGCTATGACATTGTCTGTGGTAGCAGTAGTGGTAGTAATAGGGGCTACAGTGCTAGTCATGACTAAAAATAGGAGTCAATATCATGATTGAATACCAATGTGATAAAGTTTACCCTCGCTTACACTCAAAGTTGGAACTGTGTTGTCTACATAAAAGAGTTAAAAACACTAAGGAGGATGTCTTTGATATAAAACAGTAGAAAGATCAATGCTTACCATCCACGGTAGTAGTCGTAGTGTCTGCAGTAGTCGTAGCAGTTATAGTATCATCGGAATTGTCAGTGGTACCTATATAAAAAGTGAATGAATACACTCTGGATTTAAATAGACGACAATTTCTGATTCAAGAAACTACACGTGTCCGATACAACTTGTATTACAGTGTATCTAGATGTCCTTCTTACCATCTTCTTCCGTAGTATCAGCATCTACAGTGCCTGAATCTGTCGAGCCATCGTCTTGTTCAGTACCATCAGCTTCTGAGCCGTCATCCTCAGTAGAATCTTCGGTCGAATCATCGCTGCCATCATCACTCGTATCTTCAGAATCATCAACGCTGTCATCAGAATCATCGCCGCTGTCATCAGAATTGTCAACGCTGTCATCAGAATTGTCATCGCTGCCACTGTCATCATTAGTATCTTCAGAATAATCTTCGTCGTCATCGTCAGCACGCTTGTTAATCCATACTGTTGTAGGAGCCATGTTAATAAAAAGGAATGAATAAGAGTTTTTAAGGAAAGGAAGGGAGGGGAGGGGGAGGGAAGTATGGTTACAGAATGAAATAAGAGAAAGAGAGAAAGAAAAGAAAATCTAGACGCCTTAAACTAATGATTCTGACAGAAGATTTTTTTAGCGGGAGATCAAAACAAGTTATTTTTATAAGGTAAGAAAAGAGTCTAAAGATGTGTACACATTCAGATTTGCTTAATATAGTGTTCAATGGAGTGTTTGGAGTGTTTGATTTATTCTTTTTGTTTATTATCAAAAAAAGATCGCCACTACTACTCTAGTTATTTAAACCGAGCAAAAGAATAAGAAGCCTCATTATTCCAGTGGCTATGGTTACACTTGAATATAAATAGGGCATGACTTCTAAAAAAAAATGGCCAGAGTAGTACACCATTATTTATATCCTCTATTGATCCCAAGATATAAAAGCCATTTTTTATTTTTTATTTTTTATTTTTTTCATTTCTTTCAAGCATATACCACTAATCTTTTTTTTTTTATTTTTATTTTCATCATGGGCCTCGGTAATTGTTGTTTTTGTATTCCTTTAAGGTATGTCTATTTAATCAAATAATGACATTTGACATCTCTCCTTTTTTTTATTTTTATTTTTATACAGAGTTGGCGTTACTACAATTGCTATTGTATCTTCTGTAAGTTTTTTTTTTTTTTTTTTTTTTTTTTTTTTTTTTTTTTTTTTTTTTTTTTTTTTTTTTTTGTTTTCGATAGTAAATAACAAGATTTTAGTTGTTTTATATAGCTATTCTTAGTTGGTTATTAGTGGATAGAAATGGTAACTGAGTATACAAATAAACAAGAGAATTAACCAATGATTGTCACCAGTTATTTACACATTACCTCAAGAAACATTATCAAGTGCCTCAGCCATTTTTTGGATACTAATAGCTATGATATCCCTATTTGCTGCATGTTCACTGTTTGGTGTTCTTGGTGGTCTTACAGTAAGTGGAATACAATTTACAACAACTCATTATTTTTGGATATATAGCAAAACAAAACCATGATCAACATTTTTCGATACCTTTATTGGACAGTAACCATTCTATTACTCATCTCATCTACAGCCATTTGGATTTTTATGATGGTGAAACAAAACAGCCTAGTGACGAGTTGTCAAGACTATTTGACACTGTCAACAGCATCATCCGATTCATATTACTCAGCTGTCACTTTACCTGATGGAATTGCAAGTACATTGCATAAGGAAGATTGTGTGACAGCTGTTCGACAATGGTTGATTATCAGTGGCATTATTGTTTTTTTAGGCAATTTTGTTCAGGCAAGTCTATGATATCTGTCTATGTAGCTTATGCGTCCTATTTAGGTATATTTTGCATCTACTATCAGTGCTTATGCTCGACGACTAAAAGCAGGAATGACATCACAACATCAACAACTTCGAGATTTGGACGACTTTCCCGAGAAAATGTCTGTTTATTAATCTAATAAACGTGTCAACTATAAAAGTAAACTATTGTTTATATAGGCATAAAACAAAAAGACAAAACAGGACACGTGAATCAAACTCGTGAGTGCCTCCTTTAAAGCCTTCAGCACTCTCCGAAAAAAAAAATATTTAAAAACATAAACATTGAGTAACCCTTTTTCTTTTCTTTATTCTTTCTTTCTTTCTTTTGATTGAGGTCTCTTTTTTTTTGAACTCAATAAAAAGGATAAAGTAGAGACCTCTTTCAATTGATATCAAATTTTCTAATGACCACGCATGATTTTAATGACCAATTACCACAATTCACTCCTCAAGAATACGAGGCTGAACATGACTATTTCAATGGTTACGATCAAGAAATGATAGAAGCTGTCAATGAAGCAGATTATTATGACTATCGGCAACAACAAGAAGAGGAAGAAGATGTTTATGTGATTGATCAAGGCCTTTTAAAACTAATTCTGGATGTTCAGTCATACATTGCAGAAGCACCTCAAGATTCACCACTTTATCCTCTTCAATATAAAATGTATACTTATCTTAAACAAAGAGTATCTGAATTGGGCATGGATATCTCTTCTTTACTGTAATCCTTCCTTTTTTTAAAAAAAAAAATAAAAATAAAATAAAATAAAGTATTGACACTTGTTGGGAAAAAAAATTGTATGAGAGTGTACAAATGACTAAAAATGGAACATCAATAACAAAGTCATGCTATGAAAAGCACAGGGCATCATTTACTAAATATGTAGCTAAAATAAGGATAGTTAATAACTGTTGATTGCATAAAAAATTCCTTAAAATTAAATTCATGATTTCATTGTCAATTTACTTTAAACTGTTGTGTATATAGTTTCAATGATTATGCATATATGCAGGGATCGTACAAGGAAACTGTTAAAACCCAGTATCCTTTCTTGAGCTCATCTTTCTCACGGACGAATCTGAGCTTTATTTATACGTTAAACAGGCCCAGATAAGATAATACTGCTTTTACACTTCAAATTCAGGCGATGTTAGTTTTTTTCTGGACGAATCAAAATTAATTTCCAGATGCTCTTCTTGCCTATTTTGGACGAAATAAAAATGGAAATTAGACAGAAAAAGAATTAGCTTTTTGGATGAATGAGAGTTTACATTTAGACGTTTATCTGTAAAGGGAAATCAATTGTTAGAAAAGCAATATCAAAATGGCTGGTTATTGTGGTGTTTTGGGACTTTTTAAATAAAAAGATTGAATATAGAAACTATAAAAAAATAAAGAGACATGTAGAAAGTACTTTGAGACCGTTTATAAATGTTTATAAAGGTAAAAGTTTGAGAGAGATTCTTTATATTCTAGGTTTATATATGATTTGGATTATGTCCTTAGATGTAACCTGAGATAGGACTTGATCAGCTGAAGGTTATATTAGATGGAACAAGAGTATTGACTTTTTCAATAAAATATACTTTGTGAACCATCTTTACAGTTATTTATCATTCAAGATGGGATCTGTTTACTGGTTCCTGGATTATATGACTCTATTCCGTAGGAGTGTAAATGTTGATTCAGCTATATCATTGTTTAGAATGAACTCAGTTTTATTGCTATCAAACTATGACTAGCTGGCATAATAATAATAATAATATATGACAAATGTTCTTGTTATGAGAAAAGATTTATTTGTGATAATATACTTTTTTTTATTTAAAGTTATTTATACCAGATCATCAACAATAGTTAGATCGACTTGTCTGTTATAATGTTTTTTTTAACGAGGTTCATCTTATTTAAAGAAAAATTAAGTTTTCCATCTGCTCCAAGAAACTGACCACGAAGGTATAATTATTAAGTGTTCAATTGATATGGACATATTGGTCACTAAACCTATCTAATAGTTAGTATCAGAAAAAGAAAGAGAAAGCAGCCTGAAATACTGAAAAAAAATAAAAAGAGCAGCAAAACGTCAAAGGAATCAAGCCTAAGTTAATCCAGGGGTAATATGCAAGAAGTGTGAACTTTCCGGCCACTCTTCTGCACGTTCACCTCTCTGCTCCTTTTACAGAGTAAGTCAAATACTATGCTTCAGAATCTTGGGCCAAATTGCACTGTTTACGCTCGTAAATTACCTTTTCAAAATTGTGTCAAGGAAGAATATCAAAACATATTGAAGCAGAAAATAACCTCGTGTTGTAGCGCTGTAAGAGAGATAGTGTTTAGAGCCAAACTTTTTGTGAACTGGTATCTTTCAAAAACCCCAAGTGAATCCGTATCTGATGGTATCTTTGGGCAACAGTTTTGGTATCCTGTCTGTCAACTGGTGAACAATAGAGAACCTAAAAACACCAAGCTTCTGCCACAAATTTTTTTACAAGAATGGGATAACTTCAAAGCTGGAAATCCTAATGCCACTTTTAATGAAGACTTGATTGGAGGAGCTAGCCAGTACATCGCTGAGGCCTGCTAGGAGCTAGCAACCACATACGAGAATGCAGTTGTAGAAAGACTTGAAAATATATTGAGAAGATTTTTGCAATATCAAATTCAAATTATGTTTGTTGTAAGAGCTAATAATCACATTCATTTACCCTAAATACTTAAATATTATGTATATAGTCCATGGCTCCGAAGGACCTCGATGATATTGCTATAAAATATGGATATCAGTATGTATGCCAAGGTGAAGCGGTGTGGTCTGAACAGAAATCATTTGAAGACCCTATGATCAAACGAAGAATCGATGAACTATGCCTGCCACTTAAAAACAAACTCGATGCTAGAGTTAGTATAAAATCATTAGCTGGTAACCCTGGCTTTTTTGTTCCTCTGTTGTTTCATATACTGGCTGTCTTTGAAAGGGAACATCAGTCCCATAAAGCGTTTGACGTTAGAAGACTTCCTTTACCAAGGTTGTTCAATGTATTCCCTTCACCATCATGCCATTGGCGATCAGTGACAATTTCGGTCAATGCATTAGCAGCATTTCTTCCTGGTGAACCACTCCCCAGAGGGTATAATGATCAGCTGCATTTATTTTACAAGGTATTTGATTTTAAACCGCTTAGAACCAAATCGTAAGTACATGGTTGTAAAAAAAAATGATTTTATATAATAGTCATTTAAAATATGTTTATTATTAGGATTAAATCTTTATTACCCACTGGAACAAATAAGAGGCTCTTTGGTAACCTGATCAGATCAGACGGTTTTTCTGTTGATTTTGTTTTTAACAAACGAACAATCACAGAAAAACGTTTAACCAAGCAAATCAATCAAGTTGATCTGATCCTGGATGGTTTTGAGCAGCATAAAGTTGGCAGCCACTATTTACCAATAGCCGTAGATCCAGGAAGAAAAAGGGTTTTCACTGTATTTGCTGGTTCAACTGGTAATATTAACAACTTCAGACAATGTTCCATCAAGGAATATTACCACTTGAAAGGCTCTACAAAATCCTCAGCAGAGCAAGAGAAGAAAAAGAAAGCATGCGGTAACAAGACGATTGAAACAAATATACCGACTAATAAGGCTGCCGATGAATCACTGTATATGGAGTATGCCATTTATATGCTCGAAAACATTGGTCGTATTTTCAGTTTTTACAATCAAGAAACTGCAAAAGAGACCTTTTTCTTATACCAGGGTCGTCAACGAGCACCGGAGCGAATAGTGAAAATTTTTTAGATGGTACCAAGAAATACAACAAGAAGTCAAGAGGAAACAAACGAAAAAGAGCAAAGAACAAAGGGAAGCGGAAGAAGAAGGGGAGCAAGTCCGGAAAGAAGGATAAAGGAAAGAGAAAAATGGTACGGAAAACAACAGAAACAAGGTAAAAAGTTACTTGGGCATGGCTACGATAATTTTTATACTCATAAGTTTATGGTACTTGGAGAAAGCAATTTCTTTCAGTACAAACAGGAGGTACCACTGATAGTATTTGGTAGTGGCATGTTTGGGAAGGACCATGTGAAGATGAAAACGGTCCGGACTGATGTCACTGGTCTTCTATACAGAACGTTGAAAAAAAGAGAGAGGACTGGTGACTTACTCGCTGTGGACATTGATGAATATTTGATGTCCCAAATATGTTTTAAATGTGAAAGTAGGACTTTGGGTGGTATTAGTGATGCCCACAGTAGTAGTGTTCTCGTTTGCAAGACGTGCAGAACATTATGGCAGCGTGACATCAACGCTAGTTTGAATATGATGAACATTGCCAAGTCAATTTGGAAAGGTGAAGGCCGTGCAGAACGATTCAAGAGAAATTAAAAAGAGAAGCAATGATCGCCGTAATAAACACGGTATTTCCTTCAGGAATTAAGATTGTTATAGATAAAGTCATCTAGCATACTATTGTACCTTCTCTAATAATTCTTCTCTTTCTGTCTAATTTCCATTTTTATTTCGTCCAAAATAGGTAAGAAAAACATCTGGAAATTAATTTGATTCGTCCAGAAAAAAACTAACATCGCCTTAATTCAAAGTAGACATACTGTAACCGTTAGAAAAAAAAATTGTATCTATATAACTCTCTTTTCTTTTTTGTTTCTTATCTTTTCTCTCTCTTTTTTTTTCTTATTTGACACTAAAGACATTTGTTGTCTTTTATTCTATACTTTGCTATAAAGAAAAAAAGAAAATAGTGGTTCGTGTTACAATATTTGCAAGCAAAACCCAATCGACTAATTTAAGGTTCTATCCCTTTTTTTTCGGATTGGCAGGTCTTTTTTTTTATAGATAAAAAGAACAAAATAGGCTTATACAGAGTAGATTCATGTACAGTCCAAGACTTTTCTACCACTGTTGTTTCAAGGTTAAAAGTGTGTGAGAGTACAGGAGACTTAATGATGGTCATGAAGATAAGCAATGATGGTAATCTGGAAGACCATATGCAGCAATTACCTTTAGGAGACTTGGATCTTAAGACAATCACAGGCACCATTTTACGTTTAGCAGCCAACTTGATCGATTTACACAAAGCTGAATTGTGTCACCGCAATGTTCATCCACGCAACATCATGTGTACTGACAGTGATTATTTTTTGGTCGACTATCGATTCTCCACCTCATCCAAAGAGTCATCGTCAGTGACTGCGCTAACAAAGGCTGTCTGTGATCGACTGCCTTACATTGCTCCTGAGGTCAAAAGAGGAATATACACAGAGAAGTCAGACATATATAGTTTGGGAGTGATTATTTGGCAATTAGTCAGTAAAGTCATATTTGCTTCTCCTGAGATGTTGCTTGATGACGCTCATAAACATCGTTTCTCACACAACGTGTACCGTATTGAGCCTGTACCAGGATTGCCTGATTGTTATCAACACCTTTATGTATCATGTTTAGAGCCCGACCCAGACAATAGACACACAGCAGTACAAATATTTCAAGTACTACAACCTATTCATGATAGTCTACAAAACACAGTGCCTTTGAAAAGAGAATTGACGGAATATATTATGGCTCGACGAGCAGAAATAGCAGATCATACAAGAATATATTTAAAAGTAAAAGGAGGGAAACCTTCTAACTCCACAACAAGGTTGTACACCCTGACTAACTTGCCAATAATAGAACACTTTATTATACTTCCCTTTACTCATACTTCATTTGACGCGTCAAGATATCGCGTCAATCCTGGACCTTCATCAACCAATGATCTTTTTACAGATTTAGAACCTACATCGCATTTGTTAGTGTAATAATGTGATACGCGTCTATTTGTGATATGTATTTATTTTTTTTTTTGACACAATAAGCCACTTTGAGAGCGTCTCTTTCATAACATACACGTTTAAGATAGAAGCAATAAAAACCCATCCCTTTTTGAAAGGGCGCCATAAATATGCTGTACGTCACCTAAGCTTTTTTTTATTGTAAAAAAAGACTTTTGTTTATTTTTTTTCTTTCTTTCTCTCTTTGTCTTTATCTTACGCTAAGGAATATACAAGAAAAATGTCTTGGGATCCTTCAAGCGCCGACTTCTCTACTGACTTCTCCTCTGGAAACGTCCATGATGACTTTGGTGGTCAAGAGCGTTCTGAACGTTCTGAACGTCCTCCTCGTCCCGAACCTACTGAAGAACAACTTCAGCGCAGAAACTATAACTGGGCTTCTAACCGTGCTCGTTATGAATACAATGAAAACGCTGTTGACGACCAAGGTATGGCCCCACGCGACCCTCAACTTGAAAATGAACTCTTTGAGATCAATTCTGCTGAACAACAAACAACCATTGACTTTTCCAAGTATGAAAAGATTCCTGTTCGCGTCGAACGTGGTACTGCTCCTAACCCTATCCAAAGCGTAAGTTGTATTTTTTTTTTTTTTGGCTGCAAAATTGGTAGGATGATTAACATATTTTCTAAGTTTGCTGAAGCCGACCTTCATCCTGTGATGAAGGAAAATGTCAGCCTTGCTCGTTATACTCGTCCTACTCCTGTTCAGATGTATTCCGTTCCTATTGTCACTGCTGGTCATGATTTGATGGCTTGTGCTCAAACTGGTAAGGAAAAAAAATTATTGATGAAATTAAGGGAGAAATCAATTAATCAGTTATTCCTTTTAGGTTCTGGTAAGACTGCTGCCTTCTTGATCCCTACTTTGTCTGCTCTTTTCTCTAAGGCCAAAGAACTTCAAAAGCCTCGTCCTGCTCCATATGAAACCAGATCTTACAGAGCTGAGCCCCTTGTTCTTATTCTTGCTCCTACTCGTGAACTTTGTTCTCAAATTTTCGATGAATGTAGAAGAGTGAGTGCATACAAAAAAAAACGTGTTTCTCATACTTGTGTTATCCTTCCTAGTTTACCTACAGAAGCTGTCTTAGACCTTGGTAAGTTAAACATTTAGATGTATGTATGTATTAATCAAGTAATTAAGTGCTGTCTATGGTGGTGCTGATTCTATTGGTCAAATTCGTCAACTTGAAAGAGGTTGTGATGTCTTGGCTGCTGCTCCTGGTCGTCTTATGGACTTTATTCAACGTGGTAAGATTGGTCTTAACAGAGTTAAATACCTTGTTTTGGATGAAGCCGATCGTATGTTGGACATGGGTTTTGAAGCTGTTATCCGTCAACTTATCTTGAAGAGCGGTATGCCCTCTGAAAGACAAACCCTCTTGTTCTCTGCTACTTTCCCCAGAGCCATCCGTGCTCTTGCCCGTGATTTCTTACGTCCTGACTATCTTTTCTTGAAGGTTGGTCGTGTTGGTGGTACTTCCAGAGATATAAAGCAAAATGTAAGTAGATACAAGATCAAAAAAAAAAAGAAAAAGAAAGGGAGAGAGAGAGAGAGAGAGAGAAAACAAAACAATAAGATGTAACCTTGTGTTAGGTTATGCTCGTTGAAGAAGATGAAAAGCGTGAAGCTTTGCGTGTCTTGTTGAACTCTCAACCTCCTAGCCGTACTCTTATTTTCGTTGAAACCAAGAGAAGTGCTGACAGGTAAATATATTATACAAGAAAAAAAAAGGGATAATATTAACCTGTATTAGTTTGGATCACTTCCTTTACGAACGTGGTTTCCCCTCTACCTCCATTCACGGTGACCGTACTCAAATGGAAAGAGAAGATGCTCTTCTTGCTTTCAAGAGAGGTAAATGTCCTATCTTGGTTGCCACTGCTGTCGCTGCTCGTGGTATCGATATTCGTAACGTGATGCACGTCATCAACTATGATATGCCTCAAGATATGGATGAATACATTCACAGAATTGGTCGTACTGCCCGTGTCGGTAAGACTGGTTTAGCCACCTCTTTTTACAATGACAGAAGTAGTCTCATTGCTCCTGAATTGACCAAATTATTGAAGGAATGTGCTCAAGAAATCCCTGACTTCTTGAAGGAATACGAGCCTCAAGAAATTACCTGGGATGCTGATCTTGAAGATACCAACGTTGAAATTCCTAGCTATGCTGGTCGAGAATACGTCCCTATGGAAAGAAACGCTCCTGGCGCTCCTCAAGGCTATAACAATGCTGAAGCTACTGGTGCTGCTGATGGTGCTTGGGATTCAGGTAACGCTGATGGCGGTAACAGCAATGCCCGTCCTGGTGACTGGGACTGTCCTGACTGTGGTATTTCCAACTTTGCCTCTCGCCAAGCTTGTTTCAAGTGCAGTGCTGCTCGTCCTGAAGGCGCTGGTGGCGGATTCGGTGGTGGACGTGGTCCTCGCCCTAAGCGTGAAGGTGATTGGGACTGTCCTTCTTGTGGCATTTCCAACTTTGCTTCTCGTACTAAATGCTTCAAGTGCTATGCTCCTAAGGAAGGTGGTTCTGGCGGTGGCTTCGGTGATGATAGCTATGGTGGTGGTTACGACAATGCTCCTGTTGACACCTCTAACTTTGGTTCTACCGGTGGCGATTGGAACTCTGATTCTGCTGGCTGGGGCGCTTCTAATTCTGCCGCTGCTCCTGCTGAACAATCCTCTGCTGGATGGGGCGCTTCTGAACCCGCTGCTCCTGCTGAACAATCCTCTGCTGGATGGGGCGCTTCTGAACCCGCTGCTCCTGCTCAATCTTCTGGCGGATGGGGCGCTTCTGAACCCGCTGCTCCTGCTCAATCTTCTGGCGGATGGGGTGAACCCAAGCCTGCTTCTCCCGCTCCTCCTCCTCAACAACAACAACAACAACAACAACAACAACAACAACAACAACAACAACAACAACCTGCTCAAAACAACAACAGTGGTGGATGGGGAGCTTCCTCTTCTCCCGCTCCTGCTGTCACTCCTGGTGGATGGGGCGATGCACCTGCTGTCGCTCCCGGTGGATGGGGTGATGCTCCCAACAACACCTCTGGTGCTGGCTGGTAATGACTTGTAGATTCACTTTTTTTCTTTTAAAAAACAAAAAAACCTACTTTATTCTTAAAAAAGAATAACAAAAAAGCTTAGCGTTGTCAAATATATATATATACATATAAATAAAAGTTGATTTAAAAAATGACATTTCCTTTTTTTTTATTATTTATTGTACAATTGTGAAAAAAAGATAAAATATATGCAGTAATTCTCTGTCTCGCTCTCTATTCAGTCTTGAGGACTTGTTCTAATGCCTCAACAGCACTTTTTTCAATGATCAACTTGTCATAAGTTAACAAATCTAAAACGTTGGTTTCTTCAACATGAATGACTTCACAATTGGGAATGTTACGGGCAGCCAATTCTAAGTTGAAATTGCAATCATCAATAACAATCAATGTCTTGGGTGAACCATAAGAGGATTCCAAAATGCTGTTCAAATCACGAGTCTTGTGAGATGTCAAATTTTGAAGTGATTCAACCACAGTAAGTTGATCTTGAGCATATTTGGCACTGAGAGCAACACGAAGACCTAATTCTTGCACCTTTCTGGGTAATTCTGTGCTGTGGTCTCTGGGCTTGGGACCAAAAGCAATACCACCACCCTTCATGTGGGGTGCTTTACCATCACCTACACGAGCCTTACCACGGCCCTTTTGAGGAGCTTGCTTTTTGCTTGTACCAGCCACTTCAGAACGAGTCTTGGAAGAGTGGGTACCTTGACGCATGGCATCACGTTGCCAAACTACAACACGGTGAAGAATATCTCTTCTAATGGGTGCATTGAAAACACTTCTGTCAAGATCGATGAAGGAGACAGGTTCGTTTGTCTTGAAATCCCGGAGAAAAGCTTGGACAGTGGTAGGGAAAACTATAGCACAAGATCAATAAGGTTTCACTCAATCGTATCTGACTAACCTTTGGGTGCAGTTTCGACAGCTGAAGCAAAAGCTCTCTTTTGAATAGGTGCCTACATGAACCAGGGTAAGTAATGAGCAATGGCAGATATGGTTTTCTTGTTATACATCAAGGAAAGAAAAAGAGTTTCTAGTTCTATACCTTTAATAAAGCTGAAGCACTAATTAAGTTTCTAGTAAAAGACATGTTGTATATATTATAAAGAAAGTGAACACAGTCTGTTCCTTAACACTTGTAGAAAAAAAAAAGTTGGTGGCACACCTGGGGTCAACTGAAGTCACAATACCAAAATTCACAGGCGTATGGCTATCCTTTAAACTCTAGTTAGTGATTGGATAATTGGCTGCTCCGCACAAGAAATGACTTTTTTACAGCTGTCAAACTGACAGTAGCATTCGATTTCTAGAGCCAAAGCAGCATGTTTCTGGCCATAAAAATAGAAGCTCTAGTGTTTTGGTTGTAGAATAATGCTTTGTTAGAAAACAGCATGTAAATAAGACTATTTAGTCTTTTTTTAAGCCTTTATTTCATATTCTTGTGGTAAAGCTACTGATAATACTGCATTTTTTGATTCTGTCATGTTCTAAATAAATATCTAGACATGTGTTTGTCTGTAGTCTTTCTGACTTTGTGGGCCTTGATCAAAATCAAACCATCATCATGCACACGCCAATCGGCTATATATCGGAGATTGAAATGAGAAAATTAAAGAGATTCCAGTTTCTTCCTGCTGCATCAGAAATCGAGCTTTTGATTAAAAAAAAAAAAAAAATCGAGCTTTTGCTGAGAACTGCATAAATACGCAGTTATTGGGCTTTGTTATAGTAACAGAAGTTTTGGATATTTGATTTCTGAGTCTATTGATGTAGAAAAATACCAAATTTGTAATCAAAATATTAAGATAATTGATAAAAATGCTTTGGAAGTTTTTTGCCTATATCATACCATTTTTATAGTACACTTGACAGGCAAATACATTCATAAAAAACTTGAGCTTTTGATGCACATTTTGAGTATTTAGGCTTGCTGACAGCTCTATTTTTTGTCTTGTAACATCAAAAATAAATTGGATGTTGTCACTTTTTTTAAAGTGTTTTATTTATTGCTCCACGTAGACGAATGTAAACCATTGTCAAGAGATGGGCGCAAATTAAAATGTTATAATATAAAAATAAAGAAAATAATTGCGTTAGAAATAGAAGAGGTCAAGTATGGGCTAGATGATTTGGGTCATCTAGTTTATCATCTATCTATTAAATTCTTGAGTTTATGTGTTTCTCTGCTATTTGTAGCTGCAGATTAATACGAGTTTGTTGCAGTAATCTTTGGTATGTTGTCAAAGTAAGGATTTTCGTGAATAGTACCCTTTAGATTTGAGGTCAAAATGGCCATTTTTTACAAGTTGCTTTTTTTGGTCCAAATCAACTCCAGAGATATCATGGATGTTAATAAACATCGTTTTCGATTAGTTAAAATAATTATGCTTGAATAAACAGGCTTTGAATTCTCTTTGCGTGGTTATGCAATCCTGTGAATTTGTTCGTTCTTTTGATGAATCATTGGGTAAATCAATGCATCAAAAAAAATTGTATATTTTCTTGTATTTATTTTAAGAGCAACAATGCTCTTTGTATGATTCAATGAAATTAACAACACTTAATCCTGGAAAAACAAAGATAAAAACTATTGTTGTTTTTTCTTTTATAAAGTGTTTACAGCTAAAACATTTTCAAAATCATTACATATACGCAGGAATTAAGACTTCTTGGAATGGGTATTGGTATAAACAGATTACTTTCCTTGTTGAATGAATAAACATTCGATAAGCATTAAATGTTTTTGGTATTCTTTATGCAAATGTCATTTATTGAATCAAACTTACTGCTCAAGCTGGTAAGAAAAAAACAGAAGCCCCCCTTTTTTTTTAAAAAAAAAAAGCCATTTGATTGCATCTCTCAGGCAGTGCTTCCGAATGAAATTTGTTAGTACAACGACAAGGAAACACATATTGACCATCGCCCTATAGTTTGGTCTTAAGAAATCAATAGAAAAACATTATTAGTTCTCAATTGTACTTGCTCAAGATCTTTATTTTGACAGGTCTTTTCTATAGATTCACAGTCCGAAGAAGAATCAAAAACGTAACTTTTAATAGAAAAGCACTTTTTCGTGTAAAGAGACCAGTAAAAATTCACCCAGATGCCTTTTTCTTCTCCTTTATCCTAGATTCAAAATTATGGGCCAATTAGCCAATATGAGATGTGTCTAGTGCCCAAAGTATCTCTCAACGTCGATGACAGCTAAAAAGAGAAGACAATGACGTCGACTTGGATATAGACGAATCAGGTCACAGTAGAGACCAGTGCCTTTACTCTCCGGGGTAGGAATTTGCTCTCACTTTTTTTTTCCTTTATCACTTTCAAGTACACACTTACACCCCACTCTTTATATATACACATGTCAGCCACAGAGTCTTGGGAATACCCTGAACACAAGCAGTTTGAACGGTAGATTGTTGATGATGTATACAGCCTTTATTGACATGTATATTTATAGTGTCCCTACATTGGATCAAGTTGATCCTTCTGACCGTAAAGGTAAATATTAGAGCAAAATAAACCAAAGAGACTCATGTCAATAGCCATCTTTGCTGCCCGTAACCAAAAGATTCGTGACGACTGGGTTAAGGCTATGGAAGCCCGTATTATCAAGGAAAAGTTAGACGAATGTTATAGAACTGAAGGTGTCAACCACTGTAAGTAAAAAAAAAAAAAAAAAAAAAAAAAAAAAAAATTGCTTAAATTCATTGTTTCATCACTATCGTAGACCAATCTTGTCGCCACTTAGCTGACATGTATTTTGAAGCTCTCAAGAACAACAAAGTTAAAGGCTTCCGCAACTCAGCATAAATAAATTTTATTTACATTGTTTCAACAACCTTGTAATGTTCAAGTGAGCAAGCGTATTTTCCACTCTTTTTAGCAGTGTATTTACGATTCTGAGAGCAGCCCTCCACTTGACATTGACGAGCAGTAGGAACAACAGCATGAGAAGGTGTACCAAAGACTTGATTCACCGAGAAAATGTTGGGTATGCTTAATTGACTTCCTTTGGCTGTGTTTACATAACGTAATCGATGAGGATCTTCGAGTCGCTTTAGTTTTTCATGGGCAGTTTCTTTATCTTCTGCATTATCTTCAATAACGCGCTTGCTTTTTGATGCTTGTTTTTTTAATAGACGATTGATGGTATCTGCCTTGTCCTTTTCTGCACGTTGAATACTTTGATTCTTTCTTCTTCTGGCTACTTCTGATTTCTTGAGTTGTTCTTCTTCTTCTGTCAATTGCTTCTTCTTGCCTGTGTCCATGGGCAATTCGAGATATTCTTCAGGAATATCTTGATATACTTTGGCACGTTGTCTTTTTGTCATGGGCTTGTTTCTTAATACTTCTTCGTCTGTAAATCCTTCTTCTTCTTCTTCTTCTTCACTATCTATAACTGAAATAGAATGAACTTATTGTTTTTATCATACATGCTTGCCTTACCCTGCGTTTTGCGTTTGTTGTTACGCGCTAGATTAGACTTACGTGGGAGAGGCATTAGCTCTTCATCCTCGTCATCTTCATCCATGGCTTCTTCCTCATTCAAAGTCTCGTCCTCTTCATTCATAGCTTCTTCATCGTCTTCATCGTCGAGTTGTTCGTCTGACAAAGACTCTAATTCATCATTATTCTTTTCATGAAGTTGATCCAAGTCTTCTTCAGAAAATATTTCGTTATCTTTTGTAGTAAGTTCATCAAGTTCCGAAGAACTTTGCAGCTCTTCTTCTTCTATCTCTGAAGCAGAGGAAGACAATGATGAAGTTGACATGGGTCTAGTGACAGCAGCAGCAGCTACAGCAGCAGCTCTTCTTCTTGCAGGGCGCATAGTTTAATAACAAAAATGAAAAAATGAAAAAAGAAAAAAGACTGCTTTGTCATTTTCTTTTTCTTTTTTTCTTGTTCTCTTTATTATCTTCGATATGCCTACTACACCTTCAGCTGAGATAGTTGCACAATCAAACTCGTTCTCTAGTAAGTAAAGAAAATAAAAAGAAAAAGAAACTTACGTTTATAGATTTACCTAATGATCAGCTTGTGTTGGCTGTCGAATGTCTATCTGCTAATCCAAAAACACCGCCAGCATACCGCGATGTGTTGCAGAAAATAACAAGTGTGGTTCGAAAGCTAATAAAAGAAAGAGAAGCAGAAGCCATCAAGTCATCAGAATATGTTCGTAAGATCAACTCAATTTATGAACAATATCGAGTTTTAGAGGATCTTTACAAAGAAGAACACAAACAAGTACTTGATCAACAAGATCAACTAGCAATTAACCAACTCAAATTACAAGAAAAAGACAAAGCAAGAGAAGAAGCAGAGAAGAATGTGAGCCAGTTGAATGCCAAAATTGAGGCCATAACAGAAGAACATAAAAAGAGTGCACAAAGACAAGGACTAGGCAGAAAGAATATTGAAGACAAGTTGATGGCAAGAGATATTGAACTCACTGAACTAAAGCGCAAATACCAAGAACTTGAAACTCATCTTTCAAAGGCTACATTGGAAGCTGATCGTTATAAAAAAGAGAATTCACAACTTAAACTTGTGCTTACTTACATTCACAATCCTCAAGAATACCAACAACAAATACAGCAGCAAATGCAACAGCAATTACATCAACCACAACAACCACAATAATAAAGAAAGAAAGAAAAAGCATTTTTATATTTATTTAAATTAAAGGGATAGAAACAGTTATTGCCTTTTGGTTAAAAGAAGAGTAGCCTTTTGGATAAAGCTGTATCTCTTGTTGTCTGATTTTTTTATACCTAATTCTAGTCTTTCTATTGCTTTCTTTTCTCCATGACATGCTGCTTTCGTATACCATTCTATAGCCTCTGTTTCGTTTTTCGTTATCCCAATACCCATTTCTGTAAAGTAGCCTACTGCATATTCTGCTTTAGGTAGCCCTTTTTGTGCTGCAATCAGGGCCCATATATACGCTTGTTCATCAGAAGCTTCCAATATATCAGGAACGCCCACTAAATACCAAGCTGTTAATGCAAAGCATGCTTCAGGATATTGCTGTTCTGCTGCAATACGGTAATACTGGATTGAAACCTGAAGATTAATTGTGCATTCCAACTTGCCGAATTCATAGCATTCACCCAGACGATAAGCAGAAGGAGCATAACCTAGCATAGCAGCTTCATGATACAGATGCAGTGCATACTTAGGGTCAGCAAAGATAACTGAATCGACACCTTTTTCATGAAGCATTCCTAATTCATGTAACGCATGAGGGTATTGCGGAGTAGCAGCTTCGGCAGATCTTTTAAGCCATTTATGTCCATCTCGTACATTTCTTGATAAACCAAGTTCACCTTTTATTTGAGCCAAACCAAGTCTATACATCGCACCAGGATGGTTTAGAGTAGCTGCCTTTCGATAATATTGAACTGATTTAGCTTTGTCTTTTCTTGTACCTAATCCATCTTCATAACATTTAGCAGCTCTATAAAGAAGTGTGAATATGCGAATTGCTCTCCTTTACTTTCTGAAAAAAAACGGGGGGAGAGAAAGGTAAAGTCTCCTGTTAAATAGTTTTACCTATAAGCAGCATCAGGATGATGACGTTTAGCTGATCGAACAAACAATGGAAAAGATTTGTTGAATTCTGGTTGATGATTCTTTTTGTTCAATAATCCTGCTCCGTACATGTTTGCCAGGTAATATTGTGATTCACTATGTCCTCGCATGGCTATTTGCTTGAGTATTTTTTCTGCTTCTAGTATGTATTCTGTATTTTCGACTCGTTTGGCAGCTTCGACTAGAAACGTACTAAAGTCACACAAGATGTCCATGTTATCTGTCTTTTTGGCATTTTCTCTGTACATATGGATTGTCTGACTATAAGATAAAAGTGAAGCATTTTGACCTGGTTTCAAATGAGAATGGTCTAGTAAATGTGGATGAGAGAAGTAACTAGGCATAGAGCATACAGAAGAGCTTGAAGAATTGGTCATGTCTATAGAGGAAACTGAACTGTTGCGACTACTGACAGACTTCTGTTTACTATTCTTTCTAAGCATGGAATGGTTACTTGCGTTGAAGTATTAAGAAGAGAAAAAGAAAGAAAAGATGTAAACGTTCCTTGATAGTCTCTTATTCAGCATATATATATATATATATATTCTCCAAAAATAAATCTTTTGGCTTTGCTGATTTAAAGATCATTTGTCATACTTTCAAGTAAATAAACGCATAAATGGAATTTTTTTGTGCAGAAATAAATGAAACTCTATTTCAAAAAAAAGGCTACTACGTAAAAAAGGGGAACCGAGGCTGGTATCAGGGAACAAAGTATGTCTAGACAACCTTTTATTTTGAAAAAACGCCGAATAGCTCCTAAATCAATATATTTTATCATACGAGACTTGTATCTTACTCGTATTGAATTTTAATCCTTGCTATACATCATTTGCTTTATTCAGGAAGAAAAAAGGCACAGTTGCCAAGTATCGTTAAAAATCAAAAACCTTAAAGCAATTTAGAGCTATGTTTGCCAAGACGCATTGAGCAAGCGACTCCTTACTTCAAATAAGCTTCTATTTTCTGAAATTGTTGAGACACTCTTGAAAATTAGCATGAGATTTATGAATGGAAAAAGACTTTAAAAAAAAAATACTATTACACTACTATCCCAAGTGTACTAAAATGATTTCTTTCACTAAGAGTGCTTTTTTGGTAGCCATTCATTTATTCATTACGAGGCAATTTATTGTGGTTTCTTCTTTTTTATTGTTTTTATCTATTTATCATCTACGATTGCATTATTTTTGTTCCTAAAAGCGAACCCAAAGCTCTTGAATAAAATGTGTACTAGATACAGTGAAATTGTGCATTCGTAAAACACATTTGAGAATTGACTCTATCTTTTAGTATATGCTACTTAAAAACTATAAAATAGTAACATTGAGCTTGTTAAACATCCTCTCTTGTACATTCTTTAGCATTAGACAAAGAATTATATTAGAAATCAAAAGAAACAAATCACTTGCGTAATATTTGCAGAATCATCTAATCAGACGTAACAAATTAGCTGATAATGTCCTTGAATTGGAGCTTTGTACGGATAGACAAAAAAGCTGATTAAGAAAGAGGAAATAATCTTTCCTTTATTAAAAAATTTCTAGGTCTTTATGATTAAATATCGTAGTTCATTAAAACGATAGAGAGTAAATACACATACAGTTATAAAAAAAATTAAAGAGGGAGTTACAGATCGACGATGAGAAATCAGGGTATCATCTTTAATAGACGGTATGCCTTATTGAGATTTAGAGCGGAGCCTATGGTACACTGCCCAAACGATCAAGCAACTACTTAACAATAAGAAAAATGTTAAGCTCCTGCTTTTGTCTTCGAATATATCTATAATTGATCTATCCGTAGCATGTTGATTGTATTCGGGTCTGCTAGGAATAATTCTTCCTCGAATGACTGTATAATGCTTTGTATTTTCTTCTAGATTTGTTTTTCGTAAGGCTTCTAATGCTTCTTTGTTTAATGCAACATCACTTGCTGGAATGTCATATTCTGGCCATTCATCGTCTTTCGCTTGAGCATCTAGCAAGTATTGCTGAACAAGTTCTTCTTTACTTGGATCATCAAGAGAATAAACGTTCCAAAGGTTGTCAGTAGCCATGTATGTGAAAAAGAAGCAAAGAAAAAGAGAAAGAAAAGAAAAAGACAGGAAATTATAGCTCCAAGCGCGCTTATGTACGACAATAAAAACAAACATTTAGCTTCTTAGTGGGAAATCCAGGGGTCAGATTTAGAATGTGAAACGCTTCCATAATTCAGAAATAAGACAAGCAACTGACAGCTGTCATGATTGAGAACAAGTAGCTCATTTTCTCTATCTTTTTGTTGTGTGTGCTTTCATTTTATCGTTTAAGCTCAAAAAGAAAACAATCAAACACATGGTTTCTGTCTTTATTAAGGTTAAGCCTAAGATCAACTCCAGATATTGAAAAGCAATGTGGTACAAGCGAAAAGCTTATTGCAGGTTGTAGGGGTATATTTTTCAATATACAAAGTGTTACGTTCTCTTTTTACACAAAGAATCTTTTCAATGAAAAAAAGATCACATTAATTAATAAAGCATAAGTTTAAAAGTATTGTTCTACATGATAGACAGCTGTCATCGTATTGTGACATTACTTGATGCATAAAAAATGTGTTCGTTCACACTTTTTGTCATATTAGGCACTTTATCAAGCAGAGTAATGATCTATCTGCAATAGACAATGTGATCCTTCTCGAATTAATGATTGAATTATGAAATTTATCATGGAAGCTCAATGCAGTTAAATCATAAAGTATATAATTGAAACTGAAGCGACAAAGAAGAGCCAATTTTGGTAGCCTTATTGACAGAAAGAAACTTTCAAAGAAGCAAAGGATTTTTGGCTTGGTTGATACTAACAGCCGTGAATGTATATATATATATATATATGTGTAACAACCTACCCTATTGTGACCGTATTCATGGGACTGCAACCATAAGAAAAAAATTTTTTTTTCTTGGCTATAAAAAATAAATGATAGCTTTCAACATAGTTTCTTTTTCTTTATTCAACATATAGAATAAAAGGTATTGTATTTTCTTCAGTTGTTTTGAAGAAGAGTTATTTCCTATTCTTTTTTGGGGATGAGATTGTTAATATATAGAGTCAAGCACTGAGCAAATACCCTACGAAGGTATACTTGATGCTAATGATATTCGCTGATAAAAGAATAACCAAATAACTTCTTTTTTGAAACAAACAACTTGTTTTATTTCGAGCTTTATTAACTCTTTATTGTAGGTATTTGTCTTCGTTTCATTCTGTTAAATAAAGGCTCTTTTTTTTTCTATCATTTAATAACATGTGTTTCTTAAAATTGAACGTATGATCCTAATTTTTCTTGTTCTGCGCGTTCAACCATAAGTCCAGAGATAGCACTGTCTTGTACACTAATGCCTACACTTTTGAACAGCGTGATTTTTTGTCTATCTTGCTCCGTGTCCCTCTTTTCCAAAACAACACGGCCCATTTCAACCCAATCTTTAGGGTCTGAAGACTTGACTAATTCACCTGCTTCATGAGCACAGGCATCCACTGAATCAACCACAATCACCTCAGCTCTTTTGATGGTCTCTGCATCTACTTCATGCATATCCATGCGATAAGAACCTACACAATTGACATGAACACCAGGCTTTAACCATGCACCAAATAAGACAGGATCAGTAGCATTAGTACAAGTACAGACAATGTCTGCTTGTTCAACATGTGCTTGTAAGTCTTCATTGGCAGAAACAAATGTACGATCTGGGTAAGCTTCTTTTAATTCTTGGATCAGTTGCAAGCGACGTTCTTCTCCTCTATTCCAAATAGCAATCGTTTTTATGGTGGGACAAACAGCAATCATCATATCTACATGTGATCTCCCTTGAGCACCTGCTCCAAACACAACCAGGTTTTTAGATGCAGGATTTGCATAATATCGTGTTGCCAGTCCAGAGCCTGCGGCTGTTCGAACGGCAGTCAATGCAGCTGCGTTCATAACGGCTTTGACAGAACCTGTTTGTTCGTCTAAGACAAGGGTGGTAGCTGGTAACCCACTCAAGCCACTTTTTGTAGGCACACTCACGATTTTAATCGATGTAGTCTCTTGTAATCTTGAAGGCATGAATAAAACTTTATGTGAGTCAGTTGACACAGTAATACGTTGAGGCGATTGGGCTTTTAAAGCCTTTTGGGGGTCGCCAGAGCAACCTTGTGTGTATTCTGCAAATGTCTTGGCCATAAGGTCAATTATTTGCATAGCAACCTTCGCGTCACCTTGAGCTAAAAGTGTCTCGATATTTACTCGAGACAAGATAAGGATTTGATCATTCATAAAGTAAAGAAAAAGAAAAAGAAAAAGAAAAAAGGGACTCAATTTCTCACAGATATGATTGGCCCTCTGTTTCTCCTGATAAGTGTATGCACGCGAGTCTATTTGTTTTTCCTTTTTTTTTTTCTTCTTCTTCATGTCTACTATCACATTAAATGATCAGCTTGTTCAAATCGTGTTTGGTTTGGCCAATTTAAAGCTGGATATTCCTTTGACCAATGTATCATTGCCTGTACTTGATGTACTCTTTGCTATTTTGATTCATTATTCGTATCGTCAAGCGTTAGGTGTTGCACACTCACAAGTAGGCTGGTATCAAGGATTATTAGCAACGGTTGTTATGGCCTCAGGTGGTGGTTCGACCGTAGCCATTCTGAGAGGAGAACCTATTGGCATCTTAAAGAGTAATGAATTCTGGGCTATTCACTGGTAAGAAGTAATTAAGATCAGGAAAGATATTGACTATAGCCTTAGTACAACTTATTTTGCAATGGCTTCTAATCCTTATGTCTATCAAATTGTCGACTTTTTATTTTCAGTGCCTTTGGTTGAACATATTTTTACATTATCTGATAGTATCTTGCGTGCTTTAGCCATGGTTCAGTCTGGTATTGAAGGAGTTACGGCTAATCCTGATTTAGGCGCGGATAAAATCGTGGCAAAAATCCTGTGTGGTACATTGGCTGGCTGTGGTGGTGGTTTATGGATTGGTAAAGATGGATGGATTTGTGTATGTGAGGTTGACTAGTCTTTAGATGCCTTTCAATTGAACCAACCTCAATGGACATTTTCAACACCCAGACTTTTGCATGTTGCTTCTGTTGATATGAAAGTATCTTTCCTGACATCTTTATTCTACATTGTTGCCACTACTCCTTCTATCAGTGAATATTTGAATTTACCATTAATGAATGTTGTGGATGCTCAAGCATGGAGTGCACTTCTCCTTACTTCTGGTTTGGTTTATGGTTCGTATTCAAACAAATGGGCTAAAAAGGTCCAAGCTATTCAAGAGTTGAATGAAAAGACAGCTCAAGAGAAAAAGACGGAATAAATGGTTGTGTTATTCAGCTTACTTTGGCCTCTTATGGCTATCGTCTTATGATGAACAGTAAAGTTTCCGAGAAATTCTAAATTCCTCTATTAATTTCATCTGTAAAGGTACCTTTTTTTCTTCTTCTTCTTCTTCTTCTTCTTCTTCTTCTTCTTCAGTCTTGTTATATATACAATATGGGTAGTAGTATATCTAAAGTAAATTGTGGTGATATCACAATACATAAGAAATACAATAGACATAGTCATCGTCGTCCTACTATTAAAATTGATAAATCTCAAATTGGTAAACCTACTGATTTTAGGGCAAGTATATTCTTTTTAACAAATGGCTGAATAATAACGTTTTCATGTATATATACACATATACGAATAGCATACTTATCATGTTGGTAAGTAACATGAAAGAGAGTTGTTGATACTAACTGTATATTAGGTAATAATAGTCCTGTCACAGATGAAGCAAGTATTTCATTTGATCCAATGTAGTATCTAATGCATAAAACAATATAGTTTCTAGATGGTGCAACCAAAAAAGAATCAGCTAATTCAGACCTGTTGGCTACAATGGCACAAATTACAGATGCACTGCAGAAATTCCCACTTCATACAGCAAGACATCAATATAGTCCCATGAAGACGTGTCTAGTCTCACCTTTACTGCCCACAACAACAAAAATTGGTGTAAGCCATAGTGATCAACAAATTTCCCGCCATCGTCAACGTCGCCCTGTACCTTCCTTAACATCGCTTAACAAGAAAAAACAATCATTGGAGACCTCTACTTCCATGATCATCAGTTCAGCAAAATTATTCGATGATGGCTTGATGAAGAACCTAAGTGAAAAAGAAAAGAATATCTTGCATATCTCCAAAAGTAGCTCTGCCCAACCAACACAGCATTCTCCAATTTTGAAAGCCAAGGACGAGGAAGAAGAAATATCAACTATGGACGTTACAGGAGGATATTATGACTTTAGTTCTTGTCTTCAGAGTAGAATTGACGCTCAGATTATTGAAATTGCTAGAGCTAGATCTAAAAACAAGAACATTCGATCTCCTGTAAGTTGAAAGACACCCTTTCTCTTCCTTTAACACACTTGTATAGAAAACTAATAATAATTTGCTTTTGGGTAAACCGGCTATTATGATTTAATATACTTTATCAATATGAGGAATAAAAAAGAAACTACTTTGGTATCGATTTTTTTTTCTTATGGAATGTCTATTTTTGCTTTCTACGAGGGTTCTTGGGACATGTATTAATCAAGTGCGACTTCCAAGCCTTTTCGCTTGATTTTGTCATATCTAATTGACAAAAGGGGCATCTCGATTGATCTTGAGCAGTAACTAACAAGGGAGAATAAAGGGTGAGTTGATCCAATTACTATCACTGCAACATACCTGTGCATGTCTTTTTTAATGTATGTTGTAGCCATTGTTCAACCGGAATAGAAGTTTTGCATTGTGAGCATTGTTTGACAAGGTGTTTCTTTTCGCAGTCGATTTCCAAATGTTCCTTCAAGGTTGAAACTTCAAGTATCTAGAAATAGCATGAGATTTCAATCACAACAGACACTTTAACTTACAATTTGACACATGGGGCAGTTTGTGAGAACAGGGCAGTCATTATAGTAATGAGCAATAAGTGTATCCTCATTGAAGCTGTCATCTACCTTGTCACAAAAGATGCAGACATTTCTATTTTGAATTAATACATATATATATAAAAAAAGAAAGTCTGTTATGCATAACTTACGTCTTTTCTTCATCCTCCTCTTCTACTTCTTGTTCAACAACGGGTTTTTGCTGTTTCTTGGTCTTGGTCTAATAATAATGATGATCAGAAACAAGTTTTTATTTGTTTTTAATATCATCGTTCACTTACTTTTTTAGCATTTGTTGTTGTACTACGTTTATCTGATGAAAAAAAAAAGGCGTCAATATTCATGTGTATATAGCTTTTCATACCTGTTGTTGGCTTTTTAGATGACGATTTCTTTGTTGTTGTTGTTGTTGTTGTACTACCAGAATTTGATTTTACAGCAAGTGCTCTTAGTTCTTGCACAGTGCTTGATGTAGTTGATTTCAACTTCTTTTTCTCATTCTTTTTCAGTTCCTATTGTCGTGTATATTAGCTAAATTTCATAAAGACAAGTCTTACCTGTTCAAGTGCCCTAATGGTATCGTTTTCTAAGAATGTACAGATAGCTTTGAAATCAGCATCTTTCTGCTGATGTTGTGCAACAAGAACCAAAAGCTCCCAAGTCGATTGTCGCACATCAGTATGAGGATGAGTTTTGAGATAAGAAACAATGAATTTCATGATGTGTTGACGGAAATTAGATGTATTTGATTTCCATTCTTTGACAAGTACTTTTTTCGTAATCAGAGTCACCAATTCTAACCGAGCCTTGGCATCTTTAAGGTTACGAATCATGCGTTCCTTCAAACAAAGAGGAATTAGTTTTTTGTTGAATTCAATCAGGTCTAGAATAGTCTTGACGGCACTAGATTTAATACCAGGATTACTATCACTCGTACGCATCAATAAGCGAGAAAAGAACTTTTCAATTGAACTCAAGATGTGCTTTTTTTGATCGTCATCGTTCATTTGGTATTGGCAGAATTCTATTTGCTTGTTAATAAATTACATGTCTATCTTTTTCTTTTGTTACTTACCAAATAAGGTCTTCCATGACTGAATGGCCTGATTGAAGATAGATTCTCTTGAGTCCATGATGGCTTCTTGAATCATGGAAATAGACGCCTGAATGAATTGTAAGTCAGACGATTCTTGTTGTTGAATCAAGTCAGATAATTGATTCAATCCGTTCTGTCTGCATTTGACTTTGACGCTCATAATACGGGCTACAAGTTCTTGACCAAATTGATCAATAGCTAACTCACAAGACTCAATATCGTCTGCAGTTAAAGGTTCAGGCACCAATTCAGGGTCTTCAGGTACTTGTTTCTGTTCAAGAGGTGCTTTTTCAACAGGTGCTTGATGAATGGGAATTCTTGCAGACAATAAGGAGGGACTGCTTACAGCTTCAGTAGGTGTGTTGTTGATAGACAATGCATCAAAACTTGTCCAGTTAGCAATGGCTTCATCTAATAACTGATCAGGGTGTTGTGTCTTGTGTTGAGTTGAAATACTGAGCTTGCCAGACTCATTGCCAACAGCAGACTGAATATCAGGAATACGGTTTTTCTATTGATCGATTAAACTCTATTTCTCCTTTGATTTGTCTTACCATTTCCTCCTCCTCCTCTTCTTGTTCTTCTTCCTCCTCTTTAAATGATGCTGTGTCTTCTTCACTATGATAAGATAAGACCATGTTTTCACAAGGTAAAATATCTCCTTCTCTTGTGATTTGAATTCCAGATTGCTTCAAAAGTGATTCAGCTGTATATCTCACTTGAACCATATCAGCCTAAAGAAAAAAAGAAAAAAAAACAATGTCAATCATACACAACTTCACACTGAAAATGTACCTTAATTTTTTCTGCTTCATCGTAATCCTTTGTGACCACAGCTTGTTGCTTATCACTTTCCAAATTAATAAGAAACCGCCAAAGACCCGTCAATCTGTCTCCTAATTCTTTGTAAATCTTTGCTTCCTTAAAATCTTCCTCTATTAAGAAAAAAAAAAAATAGAAAAAAATTAGGTACATGATCTACACATTAATAAACTGATCTACCTTGGGCTGCTTCTTCTTCGGCGTTTTGAATGACTTGAATCCAATGTTCCAAGTTGAAATCATGATCTGTGTTTTGTAAGACAGGCGAATGTTGTAATTGCTATGATTGTGTTAATTAAGATATCATCCCTAAATATATGTTTACCTGATCTACTGGTTGTTGATAGGGTGAAGGACTACCTTGTTCTATACTCATGACATGGTGACCCAAGATATTCAAAGCTAAAAATCCAACCTTGAAAAGGGCAAGTTGAATCTTATGCAACCCAAAACATTACTTACTTGTTTATGAACATTCAGTCTGTTTTCATAACAACCCTTGATAACTAGCCGAATATATTCACAATCCGCTTGAACTTTGATTGACTTGAGTTCTCGGTCTTGAAAACGATTATTATTATCAAGAGTTACAAAACTAAACACAAATCAATACGGCGTGTATATTATTATGCACACACTTACCCAAGTCGAGTAAACTGGATATACATTGCATCCTGTTCTTGCTCTTTTGTTATACCAGTATAAAACTCAATCTGGGACGCAATCTTGTAGTGATGAGACAAGATCTCAACCTTGTAAATATGGCATAAACCAGGTTTGAGTTGTAAAATTAAATCTTGAGGATATTCAGGGAATCTTATAAATGTTAGCTTTCTCTCTCTCTCTCTCTCTCTTTTGCTGTTTACTTTTTTGTTTGCCAGCCTCTATTGTTGTTTGAATCAATTAAGAACTCTGGGTTATAGTCTTGTTCAAATGAAGAACAATGAGCAATATCAAAGGGTATCACGTCAGTTTTCATGAATAAAAGATGAAAAAGAAATAAAAAAAAAAAAAAGAGAGAGAGAGAGAAAAGCAGAACAATAACATTTTGATATAAAAAGTAAGGAGTAATTGAACAATTGTATCTCGTGCCAATTATTCCTATTCTTTCAACACTACACATGTAACAGACTGAAAACTCAGCTTTGATGTTCCTCCACGCGAGAGCTGTGATTTAATTGTTATATGTCAATTTCAACAAAAAAAAAAAAAAAAAAAAAAAGGAGGCTAAAATAAAGGAAATGATTCTTTGATGACAAAAAAAAGAGGCCCGTGAAAAAAAAAAAAAAAAAAAAAAAAGTGCACCGGGAAGTTAAAATTTTTTTGGTATATAAATAGGAAACTTTTTCATCCTTTTCTTTCTTCTCTTCATCATGGTTGAACTGTCACTTCAAAAGAAAAAGAAAAGACCAATGCCACTCATTGGCTTATTTCAACACAGAAACACAAAAGAAGAATACCCAATGGAGCCACTAGGGTCCGGGTTAATTTCACCCATCATGACAAGCTCCATCATTCGACAGAATAATGATAACAATGCGCCTCAAAGGACATGTTCTTCCTCGGCTCTTCATAAGCAGACAGTGCGTCGTAGCACAAATGCTTCAGCACCAACTCTGGTTACACATCGACAAGGTTCGGAACATCATTACTTATATCATCATGATCCACTGTCTTCTCCTCCTGTGTCTCCTCCTCCTTTGTCTCCTACCAATCTTTCTTTTGCCACAATAACAAGGCCTTCGCTAAAATTACTTTCACCTACTTATCAACCTGCTTCCTCACTATCTAGTGCAGATAGTGATAGTGACGATGATGAACCATTAGGACACTTGCTTACGCCTCGGCTCAGACAAATAAACCAAAAAGCATGTTCATTACTAAGCGATGTAAGCGAAGAAGGCGATGATGATTTAGTGCCTATTGCTCGGCTATCAATTTCCCGCTCAAGCGTCTATCATTTGTCGGCTGCTGAAAAATACAAGGCCAAAGTGAAAGCTAAATTACGCATGACAGACAAACACTAAACTGTAATATTTTTTATTTATGTCCTACAATACTTTACAAACTATGTTTATTAAAATGACTTTTTTTTTTCTTCTAATGAAAATTAAAAATTTGTACGCTTTACTTATTAACGAATCCCACAAGTATCTTGAAAAATACCACTCTGCACAAATACACAATGTTCTCTTGACTGGATTGTTTATTGCTTTAATAGTGAAACCAGTATTATTGTTTATTCAAATGAGGTAAATCCCTGAATGAGTCAGTATGGCATCATCAATTGGGACCCATATGTGCAGTACTTGCCAAGCTGTATGCTTCCTTGGCTTGAGAAGGAGATAGCTACAGCCGAGAGAGAGAGTGTGTCTCTCGATTTCTTTCTTTTTGTTTTGCCTATAAGCATGGCCTTTGATTTGTAGCACCTGTGTTAACTTACTCTTTTATAGGGCTTCAATCAATAGTATAAAGATCATCCAGTCATTTATATTGAGAGGCAGTAGACCAGATACGTTATGAAAAGCATCAGCCAGAAAATAACAAATGCAGCTCTTGACTACTACAAAATAGAAGCGATCCTCTATCATAATTTATTCTGTCTAGTAAAGTTCTCTTGAACCTTGATACATCAAGATAGATCAATGTGTATTCAAATGATGTATAGGCTGCATGAATGATCACAAACGGAATAGATTACATCAAGATATGAGCGACGTTCTGCTTGTATCAAAGGAGGTTTACTGTTATTCCTATCTTGTTTGTTCTGAAATTGCATTGATATCTTGGACATCAAAAATCTTTCCCAGTATTGGTCAATTGCCGAATCTTTTTAACAAGTAAAATCAAGTCGTAGTGTTTTACCAAGAACCAATGCCAATCATATCATACCACTGAAATTAGTCCAGGCAGTTCAAGTTTCTTTGATACCATCAATCTAAGGGGGAAAAAAATATCATTCGTATAAATTAGACTTTTTTTTTTTTCGGAAAATTAGATGAAACCATTTTAACCACGGCTTGATATAATTTTGTGCCTTGGTCCTGATTTTGCATAATGTCGCCATTTTTTCAATAAGCTTCAAAATACGTCATTTTGTATTTTACATCATTTCTTCTCTGTTTAGGCTAAAAAGCTTGTCACTGATGAAAAAAAAAAAAATCTGATTAAACTCTGTCGTTCCAGAACATTTTTTTTAATCAGCACGTGCTAGCAAACAAAATAGGCATGAGATGTTATCTTTTCTCTTTCTAAACAGTTAGTAGAAAAAATATGATGTTACAAAAGCGTTTTAATCAAGATTCATGCGCGATTTGATCTTTGTACTGCATTTCGTTTCTGTTTTATTAAATTTTGTGACATGTATGCAAATGAAAACTCCTTTATTAAAAATGCCTTTGCTTTCTTTACTCGTATGATTATCAAGAAAAAAAAAGAGAAGAGAAATATAAGGAGAAAGCATACTTTTTTAAAAAAAAAAGTTGTGAAGGAAAGAAAGAGTAAAAAAAATAGGATTTCCTTTATTCTTCTAAATCAGGAATGAAGCATGGATAGAAGTATCTATTTTTTTTTCTTATATGAATCATAATGAAAAATAATGCAACTGATTTATTGCCAAGATACCAAAGTGATTTGAGCCCTCCTAAACAAGACAATAGAGTTAAGTGGCTAAGGGTAGCTACATTCTCCTTTACATACTCAAAGGAGTTCAATCACTACAAAGTCTTTTTGTTACTGCAAGATTGAACTATATCCTCTCCTGCCTATTTTTGTCATTTGATTACAGACAACACTATTTTTTTAAAAGCCAATTTTTAGTGATACGAGCTTTTTTTTTTTTTTTTTTTTTTTTTTTTTTTACTTGAACAAGGTTGTGGTACCAGCTTGATTAGCTTTTTTTAAACAAAGAAATAGTTGTTGTTGAAACAAAAGGAGCTAAGTGTCATTGACAAAAAAAAATGACCAAGTATTTAATTAAATTCGTGTTGCTTAAATTCGAGGATTTGACCTCTCATTGACTCAAACAACATGTATAATACTTATCCTCGAGTGCCAAATTAAAGTTGCATAATGAAAAACATTTATATAAAATTAGGGAACATAATGTTACAAAAGAAAAAAAAAAGATTTTTTCCCTTTTTTCTCTTTTTCTTTTACTTCTTTCCCCATTCTTTGTAAATAATTTTTTTTTTAATATATACATGTATTCAATGGAAGAACCAACACAATTTCAAATGCTAATACGTCAAGTGGACGATGATTCACTTCAAACTATGTTACAACAAGAATATCAACAACTTATAATAGAACAGCAACATCTAGTGACGATGCTTAGTCAAAGAGCACGTATGTTTGAGACAGAAAATACAGAATTACGAGAAATTATTCATGAAAGTCAGAGACGGTACGAAAAAGCAGTAAGAGAAATGCAATTCTTTAAAAAGAAACATGATCGACTGGTCGAATCATATTACCAAGACGAAAGAACCTCACAATGGACAGAAGAAGGACAGAGAACAAGGCAGAGCTCAACAACATCAGGCAGTATTTATAGTTCGCTTTCGAGTAGTACCAATGAATCTCATGAAAAAAAATCTACCTTTTCTCGTCACTCAATTTATTCAACACCAGGTAGCGGTGCCTCCTCAGTCATTACACCTGTCAGATCTTCCATGTCTTCATCTACTTATGCTGGTAGTTCTATGATTCAACAGAGAAGAATAGACCCTCTTACTTTTGGTGGTTCTGATGCACTCTGGGATACTATCAGTAAAAGTGAAGGCGCAGATGTTACTGTTGAGAAAATCATAAGGTACATATAGAAGACTGTGGGAAAAGTAACTCAAACTTCTATTTAGTAACTTTCTTCGTCGAGGAGGATCACCTAATACTGCTAAACAATCATCTTCATCACACGCTGTCAAGTACGGATATGGTATGATTCATGCTCTCATTGTCACTAAAGCCCCTGGTTCACTGGACTTACTCCTACAACAAGGAGCAAACCCAAATACAATGAGCATGAGTCAAATAGATGAAGATAAAGTAAGTAAGAATGACAAGTATGATTTCTATACTGAATTTTTACTAGGTATCACCATGTTATTTAGCTGCTAGTGTCGGCTGGTTAGCAGGTCTACAAAAGTTGGTCCAAGCTGGTGGTGATCTTATTTCCGCACGCGGAGGTGGTAGCAAGAAAAAGACAGCACTTCATGTAGCAGCTGAGCAGGGTCACGCTGCTGTTGTAGAATATATTGTTAGTGTCACAGAGGGTGTACTCAACTTGGAAACTGACAGTTTAGGTAAGTCTATCTGTATATGTAGCATGTATTCTTATCCATTTGACAGGCGCAAATGTGTTGCACTATGCCTGTTTATCGGGTCACATGGATCTTGTGTCCTTTGTGATGAAAGCATGTCAAGTACCTGTTTCAGAGCCAGATTCTCGAGGCGAATTGCCATTACATTGGGCAGTAAGAAGCGGCAGGTTAGAAGTAGTGTCGTTGTTGGTTGAAAGGTACGGTTGTAAAATCAATACCTATGTACCCAAGAGAGTCAATACACCTTATGATATGGCTAAAGCGGCTGGTCACAAGAAATTAGCCGAATATATCAAGAACAAAGGTGGATTGACAACAAAGAAAATGGAAAAGAAAAGAGAAGAAGAATTGGCCAAAGATATACCAAGGCATTTAGAAAGTGCGCTTGCAATCAACGGCCTCTAATAATATAAATAAAGATCGGAGTACGGTTATGTTTTAGGAAAAAAAGCAGCATGTTTTTCTCGGGAATACAAATATGAACCAACCTGTTTTCTTTTTTTGTTTTTTTTTTTTCCTTTCTTCATACGCGTTTTATTTTCTATGGGATTTAACGCTGTTGCTGATCAGTTTAGGAAATGGAAGCGTAGTTCAAATGCTCGAGAATTGCCAATCATGCAACATGATTATCATGAACAAAGACCAACAAGAACAGAAGCATTTCCAACTATTCCGTCTACATCAACAAAGAAACCCCGAAAGGCACCAAAACAATACCATCCTAGCCCTGATACCTTTCTTCAAGGTATTGGAGACTATACGTTTATTCGACAAGTAGGTCAGGGCAAATTCAGTCGAGTCATGCTTTCCTATCATAGCTTGACAAAGAAACAAGTGGCAATCAAGGTAACCCTCCCCCTTTTAATGCGTACTTGTGAGTTATATAAAGACAAATGAAAGATTATAGATAAAAGACAACACGATTACAGAGTCATGTCAAGACTTGTTCGAGAAATATCACTCATGGAAGTGCTTGATCATCCAAACATTGTTCGATTATATGAAACATATGAGACAACAGAATCCATGTACCTAGTAATGGAATATGTGGATGGATTTAATTTAGATGAGTTTCTGCAACAACAAGGTGGTAGATTATCAGAAGATCAAGCAAGAATCATTTTTCGACAAATGGTAGCTGGCATGGATTATTGCCATTCTCGATGGGTAGTTCATCGAGATTTAAAAGTAAGATAAGAATTTGTGGAGAATGCAACTTATGTATGCGTTTTAGACACCTAATATCTTGTTAACCAAAGACCTTCAAGTAAAAATTGCTGATTTTGGACTAGGCAATCGATACGGTAGAAGAAGGTTGAAAACGATTTGTGGTAACAACAATTTCTTGTCCAACATCCAATTAAAATGCATATATGTTTAGGTTCTATGCTTTATTATAGTCCTGAAATTATTAACGGACAAGGATACACAGGGCCAGAAGTTGATTGCTGGTGCCTAGGAGTATCACTATATCGTATGACAGTGGGTGCAGAACCCTTTGCTAATGCAAATAGTAAGTAAATCAGAGAAAACATAACAAGAAGCTTATTATAATAGCTGTGGGAGACTTGCGAAAAGATGTAACAGCTGGCAATTTTGTTGTTCCACCTCAACTAAGTGCAGAATTGAGAAAAACTATCATAAAGTGCATGTCGATAGATAAAAGTAAACGAACTCGTGTTCACTTAGCGTTAAAAGGTGATCCCTGGCTTTTTGACAATGGACAGTTACCCGATATATTTAGCTATGGTGTACAAAACGCAATGGCGACTGTCATCAATGCCGAAGAAGATGACCTCACTCGCCGCAAAAAAGAAAAAGAAAGAATGAAATACCAGCACATCAAAGATATGGAAGAGGAGAAACGACACAAGAAATTCATCAGACGCACGATTGTGTGTCATCCTAAAAACCCCTCTATTTACTTTACAAGTGTTGTACCACATTCACCAAAACCTGAAGATATTTATACCAATAGCGAAGCACAACGACACTTATTGTTTCAAAAAGTCAATGAGCTGTCTCATCAAATACAGCTATCACCTGCACATAAAGCAGGCAACAAATCGCCTATTCGTCACTTGCTTCGTAAACTTAAGCAACCTGATCAAGGATTGATGAATTTGACATCCGCCGCAGCTTATTCAAACACATCGCAGCCTAATGTGAGTACACAACGAACGATGGTACGAAAAACAAGCTCCAATATGAGTCTGTCTCAGTTGTACCAACGTGTAGCAAAGGATCAAGTGCACTATTATACGTTTCAATTAGCACCCGAGACAGCGATGCGCTTGACGGGTGTTGGGGAATCTTCTGCTGCACTACGACAATCATCTCAGCAAGAAGATGAGACTGCCATGATGCTCATTATTCGAGGAATATGTGATATTATGGGCATCACTTATCACCGTGATAAACACGACCGTCTTGTCTGTGTGATGGCATTAAACGATTATATTGATGAAAAACCACGATCGTTTTACAAACTCAAGCGAAGAGATAGTAAGCTGGGTACATCCAATCAATCACTTGGCATGTATTTTTCAAATAACATAGGCGAACAAGAAGGTAGCCAAGCATCTTTTAGTAAAAGTAGTGCAGGCCTGTCGGATATGAACAGATCTTCTCATTTTGTGAATAGTAGCAGTAAGTTTAGCAAGTTTAAGCGTATGACAAGTCATGTCTTGTCTAGTATCTTTCCACACCATTCTTCCACTCTTGTTGTCCATGACAGCCGATCTGTTCGATACCCACCTTTTCCAAACATAAATGGTAGTAGTCGCTTTACCACAGCTACTACGGCTACTACAATAAATCAACGAGGTAATACAGGTTCCTCTGCCTCCACAGCCACAACAGAAGAAGAAGACGGACAAGAAAAAAATCTGGTGTGACTATCTTTGCCATTGAGATTATTTCACTCTCAAAAGAATTGGAGCATCGTCTGGTGGCTGTCAAATTGTCGAAGCTAGAAGGATCTTCAAAAGTATTTCGTATTGGCTGTGGTTGGATCACAGGCGTTATTGGGCAAAATATTACACCAGCAAAATTAAGTGATCAATTCCATACTTTGATGATACACAATAGTACTAACATCAATATACCCTCCTCCTCTTCCGGAAGACCCATATTAAACAAGACAAAATCAAACGCAACCTTACTCTCTACCTCCTCAAACATCATTTCTCAAAAAACATCCTAGTTCTTTATATTACTTTTCTTTTGATAATAAATCTGTTGGTCCATTGAGTAATGTTTCTTTTTTCAATTGATCGTTTTCATGGATAAGTGTTAATAAATGTGAATTGACTGGAAGTGATTCTCTTAATTGACGCATGCCTCTATCCATGCCGAGAATACCACCTAATGTTAAGCCTGTGAATGTACCTACTATTCAATTCTTAATATTTTTTCTTTAGTACTGTATCTTACAAATTGTAGGAATAGCCGTTTTTGGTTTGGCACTAGGGGACCTTGAGCGACCTATTGAAAGTCTTAGAATACATTCTACTTGTTTGTATATTTACTTACTCCAAAGACTAGCAGACATACCAAGTGCTGCAGCCCCGATCGTAGCTATAAGGTATGTCAATATTAACGCGTGCCTATCTATAAGTATATACCCATAGTCACAAAGTTGAATACGGCAGACCGTATGACGAGTCTTTCTTCGTCAGTGGGTTGATAGTTTACGAGTTCTTGCTTTATATTTTCTCTACTTATCATGACAAATAAACAAATCGAAAATAACCCCGCAGAGTTTTTTATTTTTTCTTTTTGCCTTAGCAGTCATTTTGCCCTATCATAATGTATCTCGAGATTTGAATTCATTGTTTCGCTAGTTGTTTACATACAGTACTTGATATAGAAGCCTACCAAGATAAAAAAAAAAACAAGAAAAGTCTATAAAGAGATGTTGATTTTCTCTTTTCTTTTCTTCGGTTATTAGTATGCACAAGTCTTTTCTTGTATGGGTATTTTTTTTAACGCTATTTCTATCATGCGCATGCCATGAAACAAATTGCATAAAATCAAAATCAATGACTTTGCCTGTCAAGACATTCACTGTGGTACCTACATCTACAGGCCTTAACGATCATAAGCAAATATTTTCAGATAGGTGTTTTTGTATTCAAGATGGAAAAAAATGTGATTGTAAACCATTTCCACAATTTGAGGCGCAAGTGGTTGCAGCAGCTTCTCTGTTAATCATCTTTGGTGCTGCTCTTATGTTGACTGGATTTATGCTTTTTCGAGTGACAATTATCTTGACAGGTGTATTATTAGGCAGTAAGATGGGTACAGAAAATCATAAAACACAGACTAAGATACATAAGGTGCGATTGCATGGATAGGCCTTCAGGTGAATGAACCAGCTACAAGTTATCCTAATACTTCTACTCTCTATCTTGGTGTCTGTATTGGTGTCGGCCTCGTCTTGGGTGCTTTTTTGATGATCTTTTATCGAATTGGCATGTATGTCCTCGTTGGTCTGGCTGGTATATTAATGACCATGTTTATTTGCTGTTGGAAAGACAATTTTGTGATACAAAACTTTGTTCATCGTAGTATACTCGCAGTGTCTCTCGTGATGCTGTTTATATTGGGGCTTGTGTTTATCGAGTTTATTACAGTCGTTTTATCGACTTCATTTATTGGTGCTTATGTTATGATATTAGGTGTGGATTTGTTGGTCCGTACTGGATTCTTTATTGGACTTGAGACATTGTTGGACTTTAATGCAGAACGAAATCGGTCAAGCAGATACCATTTAAATCAATTTATGGTAAAACGATTTATACCAGGTGAATATCATCCTGACTGGAAGGGTCAGTGTATGATGGGTGGTGTTGTTGCTCTGTGTATTGTATCTGTTCTTTGGCAAGGATGGTTCAATAGAGGCAATCGATTCGGTCTGAATGTAATTCGAAATTCAAATGATACAATAAGTAAAATCAAGTAACCATGCACTGAATACGTTCGATTAGTAAATGATTCATAATTGTGAAGTTGTGATAGCTGATTTAAGAAAGAGAAATAAAAAAAGAAAAGAATAAATACTTTGAGACTTGTTATGAGGTCTATTGTAGGTAATAAGAGTTAGAAGGATATAAACATTGACATGTCAATATATATGTGTTTACTATGTGATAGAGTGTGCAACTTCAATTGGTCATTTTTGTGAGCTTTTATTTGGTCGTTACTGAGACGTTTTTTTTTACTTTTACCATGAGCCATAACATGAACGCTCTCTTTTTCCATGAAGACGGTACTGGTGGCGTTTTTGACGAGCAAGTTCAGGAAGCACCGAGTTACGTCGAGGATAAATCATTTCGCTTGAAAAAATTGACAGATCTTCGAAAGTATATCAAAAGCCAAGAAGTTCAGGTTGAAACAAGATCTCCAGCCGACACTGAGATGAAAGAGGCTGAGCCTAAGAAGGAAAGAGATTTGCAATATAATGTTTATACGTTCAAAGATCGCAAGCGTTATTTTTATTTTTTAAGGGAAAGACTCATGAAACCAAAGCAAGCAGCCATAGCAGCCAATGTCAATTACGACACTGCTCGCAAGTGGAAACAAACATATGAGGATGATCCTGAGAGAAATATCCTAGTTAAAAAAACCAATAAAACCATTTATAGAATAGTCAGCCAACTAAATGAAGCCCGTAAGTCTCATTTAATCAATTTTTTGACGAAGATTCTATGGCAATTCAAGACGCTGTAGAGGACTTGACTGTGAAGTTTGCGGACTTGGATATAAAAAAGTTAAGGGTAGCCGAGTTTATGAAAGAAGAATGTAATCTTTCTATCAAAGTAGTTTCTAGACATTTCATCGAAAAAACGGGCTGTTTGGATAAAGGAGTGGTTAGAGAAGGGCATGGTCTACTTTCAGAATTGTGTGTTTATAGATGAGTCAGGATTTGACATCAATATGACCCATGGAAGAGCTTGTTCAACACGTGATGAACCAGCTATCGTAGAAACACCCACAGGAAGGGCTACATCTCATATAGTGTTGGGAGCTATTTCTTCCGTAGGCGTGGTAAATGTATCCATGAGAGAGCCCAGTAACCTAAAAAGAAAAGTGGTCGGAGCAACCAAGCGTAAGGCACCTGGTGATAAATTATCAGTACCTAACGGAACTACTGGTTCTCATTATATGCATTTCATTATCGACACAATGGATATCATGGACATGTTTCCAAGTATGCATGGATCTCACATTGTTATGGATAACGCTCCTATACACGTTCCTACTTTGATTAGTCTTTTAATCGAAAGCCGTGGTTATATTCCGGTTTATCTTCCTCCTTATTCGCCAGAACTTAACCCTATCGAAGACTTTTGGTCTATTGTTAAGTCCAAAGTTAGGCGTCATGCATTGAGAGACACAGAAACTCTGACCAAAAGAATAGTTGAGGCTTGTGAAGAAGTTCTTCTCCAACATCTTCAAAATTATATTCAACATCCTGTAAATTTATTTCATAAGTGCTTAAAGAAGCTATCTAACTCCAATTTATTGCTCACTGAATAGAAGACGTTATTGATTTATTTCAGAAAGTGATCAATTGAAATTTAAAAAGCGACCAATTTTTTCAGTAAAGTGACCAATTGACGGTGGAAACACTGGATTGTACATTAGTGCTGTATGTATTTCTATTAACAGAAATGATAGCTGTTTATCTATTACGAGAGATTCTTTAGTTCATGTTTTTAGTATGTAAATGAATTGGGATACATTTTATTATGTAATTGAAGACTTATGCTACGTCAGATCATTACATTATCCCTACCCAGGTATTGACTGATACCGACAAGCTTATTTAGGATCTTTTACTATTTTTGTTTTGATCTGCATTGTTGCTTGTCGATCTTTTTCGTGAATATTAATCTAATTGTTTTTTTTTAATCATTTATGTTCTGTTGCGAACATATATAAATTCACTGCAGCGCATGCGGTGGAGGAAACCTTCCAATTTCGAGTGAAGATTTGGCCAAGATATTCCAATTCTGAGCGCATATATTGAAAGATTTCTTCCATCGCTTGCGCTGTGATGAATGAAGACCCGTATACACATTCGAAAGAAAGCAGACTTCTAGTTATAACAGATATCCCAGAGAGAAACCAATCCAAGCAAAAGCAGGAATCATCCATTTCATCTTTAGTGAAAGTATTTTCTTCTTCCCAAACAAAATCTCTAATAGCCTGATTGCCTTCAATTCTATTACCGTTCTCGTATTGACAAAATGAGTTGTACAGAATGTTGTCGTACTTATCTCCTTGTTCGTACGCCTTTGAGAATTCTTGTTTGATGAAAGGAATGACACATAAAAGCAATTCAAACGGAGCATCAATGTAGCATGAATGGCTTCTGTTGTCGTTTAATTTCAAATGCGAGAAGTCCACAATGCTGGCAGAATGCACATCAAATGCAAAAACACTTAGGTTGTCAGCAATTCGTATCTCATCTTCAACATAGTCGTCTAAATCAGACAGGTCTGAACCGCTACAACAGCAATAGGAGTAGCTTCGAAAATTGATGATAAACAGCCCTCAGGGTTTTTGTTTTTCAAACCATAAAGGCGTGACATAACACTATCTGTAGCTTGTCCACCTTTGAGAAGGCTCTCTAGCAGAGTAAGGTCAACTTGCTCTTTTGTTTTATCCTTTTTCTCTGGTAGACTTGCAAAGGCTTCCTCTGCAATTGTATCAAATAGAAGACTTTTCTCTTTCAAGATACCTAAAAAAGGGTCCTTTTCTTTAATGGAGTATTTCTCAAGTTCTTCATCATCTCTAGAAACAGCAGTCGTTTCCATCTTTTTCTTTTGATTTTCTATTCTAATATTCTTAAAATAATTCTCTCATTTTTTTTTTTTTTTTTTTTTTTTTTTTGTTCAATTGAGAGTTATTTTCATCAAAAAATATTGGAATATTATCGGAAGGACGGTTGTCACTTTCTTTATAATAATTGACAATTTTCTTGCCATAGTAAGGCTTGACCACGCTCAAAAAGGCCAACAATCGATGTGTTTTCATTTTTTTGCTATCTGAAGTAGTTGTTTAATAGCAAAAGAAATAGTATTCCTTCCACTCATAGTGCTATAAAGCATAATGTGGAATAGCTCGACAGAATTTGATGTTCTTGTTTGATGAGTTGCTTCTAGAAATTATTGAGGATTTTAGTCACCAGTTAAGCCAACGAGTATAATTGAAAAACTGCTCAAGGAGACACTTTACAGTTTTTACGAGTGTTGATTCAATGTTAATTGTGCGTAGGTGATATACCAGATCAAGAAAATTAGCTTTTAAGCCGAGAGAAACAATCGAATGGTTTGATACTATTCTTTGGACACTTTGGATAAAATGCATGTAACAACCTTTCAAATGACTCAAGGCATCCTCGACTTATTCATCAGTTTCACTAACATCTGTAGTATTATGATAATAGCAGCCAAACGCATGAATAAACTCGAGTCGTTATGCAGCAGAAAAATTCATTATCATGCACAAAGACTGATGCTTATTTAGTTTGATTTGTTGGAACGATTGGATAAAGTAAGCAGCAAAAGCTCTTGCTTTCAAACTGCCAATAGTAGTTTTGAAAAAAGACAACATTCTTGTGTATTTCAGGTATAAATATTACAGAGCAAAATTACTTTTAGGGATCAGCTACTGCTCCATATGTGACATCAGTGACAATTAATTGCTTATCTAAGGATCGCTCTTGACTTTCTCAATTAATTTTTCTCTTCTTCCCTTAAAAGAGGAATACTACTGTAGTCTCCATGAGAATGGAAACCCTTACAAGTGTTCTTTTTGAAGTATTCAGAGAACATAAGGGCAAGCATAACAGAAGCATTCCAACATTTATGGGTCATCAATTCTCCACACTGAGTCTTAATGAGCCGAGAAATGTATTTGGGCCTCATTTCCTTTTCGAACAGAATACATAAAATAGTTTATTTTACGAAAAGTTTTTTCTTACATTCTAAAGTTGTTTCGAGAAAGTATATATATTATGAATAATATATTTAATTTTCATTTTCTTTTATAATAACATATGTATATATTGAACGGCTTTGGTCGATGTCTTTCAGCAGAACGAGTCCTCCAACAAAGGTTTTACACCGCACTATATTTCTTGTAGCCCTTTATGAAACATTTACCCAAGTAAGCAGGTAAATCTTTTTTTAAGCCACTTTTCGAGAAATTTTTATTTCTCTTCGTGAGATAAAGAGAGCATCGAATTCACTAGTAAGCCAGCTTTTTATAATTTTTGAGAAAATGACTGTCTTTTTTTGTGACATGTGAGCTGGGACTCTATCGATTCCTGATGTAGAAAAAATATATAATCAGAAATGATTTAAAGAGCATTCCTCTCGAGATATTTCTATAGCTATATGTAGAATGAACGAGAGAAGGCTTTTCTAGTCATCATAATTCTTTATCAGTTTCTCTCAAGTATCAATTTCAATTGCTCAAGGCTTTTAATGGTGAATTATGACCATTGAACACTTCTAGACAAGATGATCTTTCATATTAGGAATCAAGAAAATAAAAAGAGGAAAAACCTCGTCTTATCTTAACCAGCTTTACCCTCTACAATGGCTTTAAGTCTTCTATATTTGACAGCTCGATTGTAATTAAAAAGACAGTCTTGAACTCTATGAAAAATTTCCAGTGACTGCCACAACTAGAGATATCAAAAAGTAAGCAAAAAAAATTTTTTTTCCTTGCTTTCTTTTCTCTAAAAGAAATATATTGCACTGATGAAAGCTTTGGTAAACGTTTGAATTTAATAGCGATTTTATTGTTATTGAACCACAACCGTTCTTTTTCTTAAAAAAGAGAAAAGCGTTCGGGGTAAGACGATAAAAAGGCGATGTCTGAGCATATATTTTATATATGTTGATTCTCTATTTTTCTCCAAGGTAAATTAAAAAGCGCGTAAGAAAGGAGTTGAATTGATGATAAGTGTATTTTTGATCAACATTCTGTGTTGTCTGATTCAAAAAAAAATCATACACCTGTTATAATCTCTAAGAAGCACTGATCTTCTCCTTTTTTACGAAAAAAAATCTATATAATATATTAACATTTTATTTTCCATAGGTAAGCCAAGTTTTGTTTCTAATCTTTTTGTCTATTCAAATCAATAAAAATCACATTCAAAATAGATTCCACTGCTTATATAAAGATACTAATATCTTTGAAATTTTTCAACATGATTCATCTTCCCCCTTGCACTTTTTCATTTATCAAGGGGTGCTGTTTTTTTTCAAATAAAATACCACACGGACCTGTTATGTATATCTTGTTAAATTATCATATTTTGTTGACATCATATACAGTAACGATAGGGATGTATACAAGCATTCTTTTTAAGCACTTTTACATTCTATAGAATTCAAATAGTTTACAAAACATTTGAGCTAACCACAATTCGGAGAACCATATAGTTTCTAGTAGGTCAGCTTGACAGCCATGTGACTATT